GATGTACTATAGGGTGCCGCCCTGCCGATATCTTCTCGTTCGCGCCCGCCAGTGCGTCGTTAGAACTACCTAGAAGACGTCGAGTAACGTTTGTGAAAATGGATAGTGGGATCATCTTCAACAACTCGAGTCCGGACGTTGTTTTTATACTCTTTATTCTAGCCTTTAAAAATGTAACGTCGGGAACAACTAAACCCTGACTAATAAGGTCTTCTTTCATTTTCAAAATACTCGTTTATCTCTTCATTTTGTTTGTGCAACTAGCATGGCGAACATTCCATCCACATTAATTCATATTTTTAGAATATCTCAATGAACAATTGAATATCGTCTGGACTCCATTTTGTTGGGTTATTCTTAGAACCATTATTGTTCAAACATGCCAAGATTCACTTGACCCAAGATGCTTCACAAGAGCGGCACAATTACTCTCACCATGGCTGCATCAGCACTACTGTGACAGTACTGTACTACTGTCGCTTCTCCAACGAAAAAAATCAACACATCGTTGTCACTAGTCACTACTCACTCCCTCCCTACTTCCTACCCCCTCTCAGCCGCGTATCGACTATCGGGCACATGCCTCTGAAGCGGCTGGACCCTATACACGAGGACATAAGGGTGGACAGTTAAAGCGACGGATGAACTGGCGGCCAGTACTGTCCCTGTGTACAGGCACCTTTAAGCAGATTTGCCTTAGTGAAACTTTTCATATGTTCGTGCAAATAAATCTTTGTGTATTTATTTAGATATTTCGAGATGATGAATTATTGCGTCAATTGCGAAATTCGATCAGTCAACATAATTTTCAGGATTTGGACGTATGTCAACCGGCCAACTGCTGCTGACGTTGTTTCTCTTGAAAGAAGTTGCTCTTGTTGCTGCCGTTGTCGTTTGTGAAGTAGCAGAATTCGCTAAATTTAAGCTTGGGATTGCTTTCAATTTTTTGTTGCTGTGAAGTTTGTCAGCGTTGAAACTCTTGCGCCCTTGCAGAAACGAAGGGTTTTGCTTGCTCTTTATCTTGCGTGGTAAAGGCGTTCGCAGGGAGCAATGAGCGTTTGAGCCCAAGTCTCTCCTGTCCCTGAATGAGAGGAACTTCCTGTGGGACTGTAACCTGGCATCTGGGGTCTGAGACCAGTTGTGAAGTGGTTGAAAATGATATGCATTTGTTGCACCGTAGTTTGGTTTACGGCAAACTATAAGAAAAGATGCATTGTAAATTTTGGAAAGTTCGACCTTCCAAGACTGCATTGCAAGGTTATCAATATTAGTGAGAAATACAGAAGGAAAAAGTTCTATTTTCTTCCAAAACTTTTGAATATTGTCAGAATTAATAAGGCACATTAGGCAGAACATATTAATTATTATGTTCTACACTTGAAATTTAAAAGCCAGCAAAACGCCAAGTAAATTCACTATATCATTATTGAAAATGTTTAGAAGATGAACCCTTTCATCATGTTTCCATTTGCTACTGTTTTTACTCCAAGCTGTCTCAAGTGTAATAAATGCATTCTCTGGTGATTAATTCCAATATTAAAACCAGTATTTCATGTCTCTCAAACTGTTCATTTTTTATTGTATTTAACACAAAACTCAATTTTCTTTTAATTGTAACCTTCAAAAAATGACAGAATTTGGGAGGTACAAATTTAATTCCATTTTTTGAGTTTCTCTGCTTGTCATAAGGTGATATATCTTCCTCATAATTTGAATGAATTATAATAATATCGAATTTACGTACCGTAATATATGTATTGAAATTACGACTTTTTTCTCCATTGTGCTCTATAATAATTAATTCCAGGTCGTTTATTTGTTTTCATGACGTGACCGCAACTGGTCGGCGGGAGGTGAATGTGGGACACCTAAGTGGTATAACAAATTGGTGGTACTCGGCTGCGCACCCGTGAATATTAGCGATTGTTATTCATATTCTGTTTGGATACAAATCGAGTGAGTTAACCCGGGACAACAAAAAATTGTCCTCGGGATACATTTAAATAATTTTCTACGGCAGGAGCGCAGATCCTAATATAATCATATTCCAGGGTTTTCACGATAATATGCAATTTTAAGATACTATGCAGTCACAGCCTACTGGTGGTTTTCTTGTCTCGTCACTGCAAATAATTTGAAATTAAATGCTAAGTGGCAACATATCTTTAATTTCTCTTAGGCCTCCATATTCTGTTATTTTTGTATCTAATAATATTTCAAGTTTTGAGAAGTACTTAAATTTTCACGAATCTTTTGCTACATTACTCTTCGGTTGAGTAGTAATTACAATATGCTGATAATACCTAATCATTTAATGGATTATTAACGTGTCGCTTCAGCTCGGACGCTTGCAGCTGTAAGTGTATGACGTCACGTGAAGATCCAGCGTTGACTGGTGATAGAACTAACTGATGGTAGAGCTAACTGATGAAAGAGCTAACTGATGATAGAGCTAACTGATGATAGAGCTAACTGATGATAGAGCTAACTGATGGTAGAGCTCACTGATGATAGAGCTAACTGACGGTAGAGCTCACTGATGATAGATCTAACTGATGATAGAACTAACTGATGATAGAGCTAAATCAGTGGTTCCCAAAGTGGGCGATATCGCCTCCCTAGGGGCGATGGAAAGATTTTGGGGGGCGGTAGAGAAGAAGAGGGCGTTAGGGGGGCGATAAGGGGGGCGGCAGTCCGATGCCGAAGTCAGAAGTTCGAACGTTTGTTTGACGATTTGTACACAACACGTGCAGCACATGACGCCCAGCCATGGTTTTTTCACCCAGATCTGTTTTTAGCGCATTTCCTCATTTATGGAAAAAATGCACTATTGTGCTCGCCATGTCCGTCCGTCTGTCTGTCCGTCCGTGACTTCACGTATTCGTCGACGATAAAATGCGCTCTCTGTCACTCACTGCAGTGAGTACTGAGTTATATTTTTGTAACCTCTCCTGGGTTTAGGTATCCGACAAATTAACGGTCGGACTCGCGGCCGGTCTCACGGCCGATTTCCAAATTCAATGATCAAGGAATATCTCTCAAACTAATGAACGTAACTAGATGAAACTTGGTACACGTATTCATTAGGACATAATGGTAATTTAAAGTTCGTAAAATTTTTTTGAATTTTGCCTTCAATTGTTTTTGCCATAATTATATGGCAATACGGGCCGAAATTCACAGTGATCAAGGAATTTCTTCCAAACTACTGAACAGATTCAAACAAAATTTTGAATTTATAGTCCTAACTACCGATCGCTGATGTTTAGCTCGTGAAAATTTTTTCGATTGTGCCTTCGTTCGCGAGTTTCATTCGTGATTTAAACAGCAATACGTACTTAAATTCGCAGTTATCAAGAAATTTCTCCAAAGTACTGAACAGATTTGAACGAAATCTAGTATTTTAATACCTAACCTCAGCAACGGTGATGTTTAGCTCGTTACAATTTTTTCGTTTTGCTTTCTTTTGCGAGTTATACGGCTATACGTAAACGGCTCTTGGTTAAACCAGCCGGTAGAAAAGCCGGTCGTTCCTCCTATATCTGTATAACTCGCGAAAGAAAGCAAAATAGAAGAATTGTCATGAGTTAAACATCACTGTTGGGAGGCTAGGCATTTATATACAAAGTTTCGTTGACACCTGGGGCCATACTTTCAAAATTCGCTAAGTGAACGTAAGTACTTACGCTCTATTTTCTTGTCTATGATTGGTGGATTTTGCTCGAAAGGCCGTCAATGATTGGCTGATGAACTTACGATCTCTTAACTTTTTTGGAAAGTGTCGGGCCTGTTCAGTAGTTTAGAAAAAATTCCTTGAACGCCGCGAATTTAAGCGACAAATTACCCGACAATAAGGGCCGAATATAAGGAAGTGTGAAATCAAGAATGACGGGGAAATGAAAATAAAATTTCGCAAACGAAGGTAAAATCCACAAATTTTTTTGAATCTAAAAACACCATTTGGTAGTTAGGAATGTATATTCAAAATTTCGATAAAATTTGTTCGGTAGTTCGGAAGAGATTCTTTGATCACTACGAATTTCGGCCTATATCGCAATATAACTCACGAATGAAGGTGAAATTTAAAAAATTTTCACAAGCTAAACATCACCGTTAAGTTCTGATGAATATGTGTTCCAAGTTTTATTGAGGTGCGTTCATTAGTTTGGGAGATATTACTTGATAATTGAATTCGGAGATTGGTCGTGAGACCGGCGACGAGTCCGGCTGTAAATTTGCCCTAGACGTCCTAGGTTTCTAGTGCTGAAACAGTTAAAACAGCTAAAAAACATATTGGTTCATTAAAACGGGTTCTATTTGTGAAATACACATTTGTGTTTAACCTTTATCTTTTAAAATTGCAGCGTACTAAATTTTATAGAAAGAGGCGCATGATTTTATATGTGTCTGTGGGGGGCGCTAGAAATTCACTAGGGAGCCAAAGGGGGCGCCAGCCTGAAAAAGTTTGGGAACCACTGAGCTAACTGATGATAGAGCTAACTGATGATAGAACTAACTGATGGTAGAGCTAACTGATGATAGATCTAACTGATGATAGAACTAACTGATGATGGAGCTAACTGATGGTAGAGCTAACTGATGAAAGAGCTAACTGATGATAGAGCTAACTGATGATAGAGCTAACTGATGGTAGAGCTAACTGATGATAGATCTAACTGATGATAGAACTAACTGATGATAGAGCTAACTGATGATAGAGCTAACTAATGATAGAGCTAACTGATGATAGATCTAACTGATGGCAGAGCTAACTGATGATAGAGCTAACTGATGATAGAATTAACTGATGATTGAGTTAACTGATGATGGAGCTAACTGATGATATAGCAAACTGATGATAAAGGTAACTGATGATAGAGTTAACTGATGCTAGAGCGAACTGATGATAGAGTAACTTTGTTGAATTCAAATTTAATAACTTAATATATATTTAATTTTTGGATTACCGACGAACACAGGGTAAAAAAACACAGCATTGGTGAAAAAAACATTAACTCGTATTAAAGAAGCAGATAATGGAATATCAACGTATACTCTAAACGGTTGCGAAGTGAATAATTAGTACAAATTAAATAGCGCTCTCCTGATGCCATTCTTAACGGCAACTTTATATTGTTAAATTTACTTTAATTATTGGTTATATGATTATTTTGGCGTCTAATGCTGCAAGCTTTACTTAATTATAGACAAAACTAATTGCATTTATCTCAAGAATATTCATGCTGAACTGATTGCCACAATAACATTTCTACGGTAAATAATATAATTTGCAATTCATCACTTAATTTTTTATTAAATTTATCTTCGCATTTATTCTGTATGTAGAAGAGAATTAAGAAACGTTCCTATTGTATGTTAACATGAATACAATTTTTAAGAAAAAATACGTATATTTTCGTCTTTTATAGATGTCTCAATGAGACGTTTTACAAGTTCGTTCAAGAAAATCTTTGTGGATTTATATTGATGTTAAAAATTATCAATTATTGTATGCATTGCAAAATTAGATCATTCAGCATAATTTTCAGGATCATGACGTTTATCAACCGGCCAACTGTTGTTGGCGTTGTTTCTCTTGAAGCTGAAGGAGTTGCTCTTGTTGCTGCCGCTGTTGTTGTTGCTGAAGTTGCAAGTGTTGCTGAATAGAAGCTTGGTGTTGCAATTCGATTTCTTGTTGCTTCAAAATTTGTCGGCGTTGAAACTCCTGCGCACTTGCAGAAATAAAGGGTTTCGCTTGCTCTTTGTCTTGCGGTGCGAGGGAGGCCGCTGATCCTGGGAGCCCAGGTCTCTCCTTTTCCTGGGTGCGAGGAACTTCTTGTTGTACTGTAACCTGGCCACTTTGCTGTTGGTTGGATGGCTGAGGTCTGATACCAGTAGTGATGGTCTGCACTTGCTGCACCGTAGTTTGGTTTAAGACAGGCGGCTTGTTACTGATCGACAATGGGCCATCTGGGAGCTGCGACGCCGGAGAAGATCCTTGACTCGGTTCCAGTGGCTGAGGTGTTTGAATAGCGCCAGGTAGTTGTGGAGGAAGAGATGGTATCTGAGGCTGGCCAAATGGTTGCACGGGCGAAGTAGGCTTCTGACCACCGCTTGGATGTACAATACCCTGGGCCGACTGTCCTCCGATTTGGTTTGAGGCCTCCGCAGGAATCCCAATATTAGTATTGGCAAAAATTTTCTGACATTCGATGGATATTACTTGTGGGGCTTTGTTCGAGCCGCAAGTCTCCATGCACTTGGCCATAGAATTGAAGTTATTCCCGCCGGACTGGCAGCCGCCGTATACGTAACAGTCGCAGAACCCCGTCTTGGCATTGAAGTAAAATGATGGAATCAAAGCTCGACATGAACCAGTGTTTGGTTCCTTGAAGCAGACACTGCTTACAGAAGGCTGGGAGAGGATGAAGTGAGTGGACGTTATGAATACAAAAGCCTCGAGAAACATAATGAGCGACGCTGCATGCGCCAGCTGCTCGGGACACTGTGTGATGACCAAAAATTCACAGGCGCACGAGTTTGATTCAAATAAGAACGAGTTTTACATGCGTCGTAAACTCTAGAATAATGTGGGCTACTTTACTAGCCTTTTGACAGATATAAGTAATATTTAATTCATTTAATTTAGAGTTTCATATACCGAGATTTAATTTTTCATATCTCACTACAGCGTAAATTCGTTGGCCTAAGCACAGCACTTAAAAATTATATGAGGAGCGACGTTCGAAGATGCTTTTGAACAGCCGTCTTGCTTGCAACTGGTCAGGTGTCTGCGTGCTATCCTGCATCCGGTAAACAGATTTTACGGGACCAAGCGCATCCCGAGCGTTTTTCCCCAAGTCCACTTGAGAACCTGTTTGGTTTCGAAGGGCGTCTCGGGAATCTATCTGATGGAATCTCAGAAAATAACCAGCCGGCAATCATAAATAGCAATTCAGCCGAGATTTTTCGTAGCAGGTTCTGATCACGAGCTTTTGATACATGGTATTGGTGAGTCTAAAACGACTGTTTTTGCCCATTTTTATCCGTTTGTAAGGACGATAGTTAAAAATGAAATTGAAAAATGTTTTGAAGATTTTCTCAAGCAATTCAAGGCAGCAGTAAACATCGAGAAGAGATATATGGCTAGTTAAAACGTACGAGTATATAACTGTTTTTTCTGGCCTCAGCGTGAGTCATCTAAACAGGCTTTGAATATGAACGTTACAAATTTACATACAGATTTAAATTCATATCGCGTCATCAAGCTTATCTTATTCGTAGTCATTTGTGTGGCACGAGCGGCTACTAGTTAATACGAAAGTGTTATGTTATATTCAACAAACACAATTCACTTCAGTGTGTCAAGCGTATATCGTGCTATTCCCAGTATATTTGTTCTGCTTAACGATATCAGATGATGAATCACATTCGCATCATTAGAGATAACCAATTAACTTTATGCTAAATATCTATTAAATTCAATTGAATTCTGAGCATTTGTAGAGTTGACTTGAATTAAACATTAGGAAAATCACAGAAAATTGTAGAGAATAATATTTATTTCAGAGCTACTATGTTTTCAAATCTCCTGAGTTGAAACAATTGCGTGTGAAAACCGCATATATTTTAGATGTAATTAAAAACCCATTAACAAATTAAAAATTATACATAGTTCTTCCAGAGGCATAAGTTTATTTTCCAACTGTATAATTAGTAGAAAGACGTTTAATCGCAAGAAAGAATTATGGTTTTACTTGTATTTCATTTTAATGTTTTTCATATATGCAAATGAGGACAAATTCAGAGAACATAAAAAAATTGAAAATCGAGAATACATTCTTTTCTATGCAAAAACTATGCACATGAAAAAATTGATTGAGATTTTAATCCAATTCAGGAGAAATTAAAACTGTAGAAACGAGTGATCTTGGATAAGCGATCTGAACAGGAAATACATGACGTCTTCTGGAAAAACTGGACTGTGCGGCGACGTTGGCCTTGAGGCTTTAATGTCAGGGATGTTTGCGCGATTCTAATGCATTTTGGAATCTTATAAAATCAGCAATAAATCTAAAAAAGTTAAAGAATCGTCTCAGGACGCAATTGAACAAGAAACGCGGAGCATTTGTGATTGACTCATTATAAATTTCATTGCTTGTTAGAATTTTCTGGCATATTTTTATCTATCAGAAGTTTAAAGAACGAAATGCAAATGAAGTAATGCACAAATTGTTAAAATTGACTACCAATTAGAACTGAACTATGATAAGCTGTTGCAACATTGATCGTAGAAAGAAGCACTATAAGATTTAACGTAAAATTTTCTAAGGCATAAAATTGTGAGATAAAAATTTTTTCGTTCATTACACTATAAAACTTCAAAAGCTTCCGTTCTAAGACAAAATATTCATCCTGTGATCCTGACAGGTTGTCCCACGGCAATCGGCAAGCCCCCTTGAGTGGCAGACCCAAATACAGTTCCGGAGGCGACAGTTCGCTGCTCCTGCTTTACCTCCTGGGCTGAAATCTGTTGCCTCGGCTGCTGAGGAACAGGCGGTCGAACCACGCCAGGGAGAGGAGGTGGAAAAACTGGTTTGAAAACTCTAACATTGTCATCGTCTTCCCTGCTCTCGTCAGGACGAGGTCTAACGACGGCCCTGACAGGCTGAGGTTGCACTGCGGGTTGGATTGGTGAAGGTTGAGTTGTTGTTGGTGGCTTTTGAACATTCTGCTGCGTGGATAATTGTTCGAAAATTGTTTGCAGCTGCTGGATTTGGTCCGGTGTGAGGTTCTGTTTGTCAACCTGCTGTACCTTTTGTGGATCAACTGGCTTCTGTCCTTGCTGCGATCCTGTTGGTTGTTGAGGTTGAACAAGTTGGGGTTCAGTTGGTTGAGTCTGGGGTTGAACAGGCTGAGGTTGAATGGGTTGAGGCTGAACTGGTTCAGGCTGGACTGCCGGGGGTTGAATCGGCTGAGGTTGAACAGGCTGGACTGGGGATGGTGTAGTGTTTCTTCCAGCAAAAATTCTCTGGCAAGTCTCTGACCAGATCTGCGTAGCGGGATTTACGTTGCAAACTCTCATGCAATCCTCGATTGTATTAAAATTATTCCCTCCAGGCCTGCATCCACCGAATACAAAACAGTCGCAGGACCCAGTCTGAGTGTTGTAGTAGTAAGACGGCAGGAAGGCTCGGCATGTTCCCGTTTCTGCCTGCAGGAAACAAACTTGATTCTGCGCCGTGGTCGCAGACACAACAGCCAATAACATCAAAGAAGATATCACATGCATCGTCACGAGCTTGAGCTTCACGACTCAAGCCTAACAAGGACAGTAATACTTTTTAGCGGAAAAGGTTCCAAAATATTATTTTTGGGGGTTCAATGTTCAATTTATCTGTTAGTCTGCGGAGTGGTAAATGACGAAAATTCAAATTAGGTTAATGAGGAAACATATATCTGAAAGGAGGAGTAAATATATATGTCTGAAAAGCAGACTAACAACTAAAAAATTACAATCAAAGTGTTTTGTTAGCATTTGTCTGAATTTGAAGCACTTCAACTTCATTACCTGAATGAACGATACCTCGAGCTATGGATGTAACTCACTATCGATATGTACGGCTCCATAATTGAAGTCACAGGAAAATATCAAATGTGTTAGATGGCTAAATGTGATTAAACACTTTTCTTGTCATAATAGAATTAATATTTCCTAATATTATCGCAGTGATGACTCTAGCTTCGCCTATCAGTCTTCAATTCCAGTTTATGCCAACTAACTTCCGTCTGCAATAAAAAGTGCGATTAACTAGAAAAAAATTCACGAATAGAACCATCTACCAGAATTTGTTCAACTATAAAACGCTTCAAATTAAAGTGTTGTTAACTTTTGGTAGTTCTGGGACCAAGTAACTTAGGATTACTCGGTGACTGCACAACTGCCATAACCTACCCAGCTGGACTCAGGTGTAAGACTAACGCTTCAGCTTCCTAATTCCTTGGAGGCTGAAGCCCTACACTGGAATGTCCTTGGTCCCGCATGTTATCTCAAATGTCGCATAACGGGTACGAATAATGAATTTTAAACAAAGCGAGATCATAAATGTAAGGTGATGTATAATTATTTAATTATCTCTCTTATTACAGCCGCAGTTCTCAATGACAAAGAAAATTACCATGCACTACGATTTTCTTCTTTTATAGTTTATTTGATCATTTGAAAAATTTACTTACTTCTTGCTTTAAGATGCTTGGAAATTATATTTGGTTTATAGTCGAAGCTCAAATTTCATTCATTGTCTACAGAATCAAAATTACGTAATATATAAGTTTTTGTGAGAATAACTTTAGCATCTTAACATGATCGGCACATTGTTATCAATTACGTCCAAGAATTTAAAAGTAAAGAAATCGCCAAGTTAATTCCCCATATCTGCATCGACAACTTCGGGTTAAAACGTTTATTATGAATTTATTTTGATTATTCTTTGCATACATTTTCTTGGTGAACTTGCGCTTTAATATTGATGATATAAGCACCTATTAGCTAAGGTTTGCAACATAAAGATTTTCCAAGGATCAAATCAGAATTTTCCAGAACACACAATTTTATAGCCAGACTCGCTGCCACCTCACAGACAATTACATACACGGCGACCATGAAATATGTCCTAACCTAAACTAATGAACGTAGCTTAATAAAACTATACAAGTGTATTTTCAAGAACTAACGGTGATGTCTAGCCCGTGTGAATTTTTTCGGTTTCGCCTTCGTGAGGTCCTATTATAACTAACTCAATCGACAGTTCTACGGACCCGCCTGCGAACTCGCCAACGGACTCGCGCAACTGGGGCACTCATATCATAATTCCTTCAATACTTAACAGATCTGTATGAATTTTGGAATGTGAGTATAAATTATCGATACGCTGCCGCAGAAATTATTACAGATTTTTACATGAATTATTTTTTATCTAGAAACTTCATCAACCTCTGCCATGTCCAGGTGCAACGGCTGGCCTGAAGTGAGGTCATCTATGCATCTATAACCCGCCACCACCACCTAACTCCCAGTAGTGTCGGCGCTTAAAGAATTGTTCAAGTTAAGCCTGTATTGATGATATTTATATAACACGGTTATTTTTGCGTTTACTTTTTTTAATTTTCGCGCGACAACAATCATGGTGTAATTGATGCTCAGTGTCCTCTCACTAGTATGAGGAAAATCAAAATTAATTTATGATGAAATCATTATTGCGTTTTTAAGATGGAAAACGAGCACCTTTTCTTAATTATGAATGAAATATAATGAAAAACGAGAAATGCTGCTTCTCGTAATTTAAGTAGTTTTTAATCACAATATCTATATAAAGTATCAAGTCATGGTTGAACTAGTATGGGTCAACCTTATATATGTCAACCATGCAACTAGTGGCATGGTTGAATTGTGCTATTATGGCTGTTTGTCCTGAACAAGTCAAGTACAAGACTACAAGCTGAAGTTAGCTATGCATATGCGGACTGCGGTGTCCGGTGGGCGGTGTGCGTAGCCTAACATAAATAGCATGCCGAATTCTGTTCTAACCGTTGAGGCAAGAGGTTCCTTGTGCTGAGCTCCCGTGACAGTAGCCGGCTTCGGCCGGCTGCTACGTCATTGTTCTGGAACTATCATTCTCGAACTTTGAAAATGCTCTGCTGTCCCTGTCTCTTATACACATCTAGATGTGTATAAGAGACAGAAACAGAAGATGACTGACTACCTGAACGTTCTTCGCGATTACTTCAAACGCTGGGGACTAGTGGTCAACCCCAATAAAACTGNGCTAGCTGCCCTGGAGTGGGGCTATCTGCCCTGGAGTGGGGCTTTCCGCCCTGGAGTGGGGCTTTCTGCCCTGGAGTGGGGCTTTCTGCCCTGGATGGGGCTCTCTACCCCAGTGTGGTCTCCACTTTGGTGGCCCCGTTCTGCAGCTCTTCATCCATTGAGAAATCTTTAGCTTTTTTTCAAGACACCCAATTTTGTACCTGAAAACAAAATTCAGTCAAATTCCTTGAACCGTTTTGACATGGGGCCGCATTGAACCAGTCTTCAGAGGCTCCCATAAATTCCAATTAAAGAAAAAAAAAAATAGCATGCCGAACACGTGCTGCATGCGTGATCCTAGCGCTGTTTTGACACGTTGCAATGCGATAAGAGTATGCAACATTATATTGCAACGACGATCAGAGTATGCACAGCTGATTGCTTAGTATGGTGTCTTACTCTAAAATAGTTTTAACCAGTGCGGAGTGGCAGTGGGCAAGTGCTTGTTATTGTCAACTTACTTCACGGAAAGTTCTGCCTTCATTGGTCGTTAACTTGGCTGTACCGTCGAGACTACAAAAACGATCCTTTGCCATCATGGTTGCGCAGGGATATGAAGTAAGTAAGACCTTGAAAATGTTGTGTACCTAGTACTATCAGTTATTTTTTAAACCAACCATATTTTTTGTCTAAAATGTTGGGTACAGAAAGGAATTTGATTCATGTACTTTTTTGTACTACCGTAAAATTGGGTAACTTTGACCACTTTTCTTCAAAATGATGCCATTTTTTTTACTAGATAAGTTGAACTTAAATTGAAACATGCAAAATACAGGTCTATACTCAGTATACTGTATACCGTAAAATGGGGTACCTAACTTAGACCGGCGGGCGGCGGGGTAACTTAGACCACTTTTCCACTTTTCAGTTTTTTAACAAAAACTCCCACGACTCAAAAACTATTTGACATAGAAAAATTTTGTTGATGGGCATTAAAGGCCTAATACTGAGGCTACATAACAGAATAGAAAGATTTTAAGTTTGCATATCTAATAGGTTAAAAAATTAAAAATGTGACCCACAAAAAAAAGCTATTATTTGAAGCCTGTCAGAGTACCCCCTCCAATTTTTTATTTTTTGGTTAAATAACTCCAGGTTTTGATATTTACCATATATAACATATTTTATGTTTGACAGCCTATTTATGTTTTTTCTTTATGTTTCAGACTCTACAGAGTCTTATATATGGTAATTTTAACTTAATTTCCAAGCCAGTCAATATTACCCCATCAGGGCTGCCATTAGGTAGTCACATTTCCCTCATTATGGGGCGCCACCAGGGGCGGTGCCCCCCATTTGCAAACTAGCTATGACACTTTCTTCAAGTTTGTCATTTGCATATGTAAGTAATGTAACTAGAAGAGTTCTACTACAATGCACCAAAATCTGGAGTTATTTGGAGTTATTTGACCAAAAAATATAATTGATTTTACCACCCGGTCTAAGTTACCCTAAGAGCTGGGGTAACAAAGACCATAACTTTTTTTGAAATTACACAAAGACTATGAGAGGCAGGAGCCAGCAATTTATGGTGAGTGAAGCTAGAGTATAGACCTGTATTTTGCATGTTTCAATTCAAGTTTAATTTAGCTAGTAAAAAAATGGCATAATTTATAAAAAAAAGCGGTCTAAGTTACCCCATTTTACGGTACCTACCGTAAAATGGGGTAACTTAGACCACTTTTTTTTTTAAATGATGCCATTTTTTTACTAGCTAAATTAAACTTGTGGAGGGGGTTCTATGACAGGTTTTAAATAATAGCTCATTTTTGTGAGTCATATTTTTCATTTTTTAACCTATTAGGTATGCATAATTTTTTTATCTTTCTATTGTGTTACGTAGCCTCAGTATTAGGCCTTTAATGCCCATTGACAAAATTTTTCTATGTCAAAAAAAACTGAAAGTGGTGTAAGTTACCCCGGGAGTCTAAATTACCCCATTTTACGGTATATATATATATAGCTTTAAGTAGAATATTTGTGTTAATCAGAACACATTTCATATGCTTTTGATATCCAAATATTGATATTTTTCAGGAAGCCATCACTGCTCTGAATGGATTACAGTCTAATGCGGCCACCATCCCAAATGTACGGATGCAGAGTGACCTCAGCCATTTCCAATTACCAGAAACTATAAAATATATGCAGCGGGCAGGTGTCACCATTGATGATCTTGATCAACTGTCAGTTATACATGTAACAGGTATCTATAAACTTCAAACTAATAATCCATGTACTGTAAAATTGTTTCTCTGAGTATTTAGCCAATTGTCAAAATCTTAATTACATATGGTACCTCAATTTAGGTTTATGTGCTAGTCCATGATTAGACCCTAGTATTTTATTCCAAGCTGTCCTATTGTTGGATAAATCAGTTTTAATTTGTAGTGGAGTAGTAGCTTATCTTCTATTTGAATTCTTTAGAGGTTTATATACATGTAGCCTTGGTCAGCTGTAAATCTTTTTCATCAAAAAATCTGTATACATTTATTGGCAGGTTAGGCTGCATTTCAATCTCATTCAAGTTCTTGGAAAAAATTTTAGAGCCTTTTTACCATGCCTTGTTTATTTGTACTAAAGACTGTAATAATTTTAATTTCTCATGCATTGTTTTCCAGGAACTAAAGGCAAGGGCTCAACATGTGCCTTCACTGAGCAAATATTGCGCCAACATGGATACAAGACTGGCCTTTACACGTCTCCTCATTTAGTGTCAGTGACAGAACGCATCAGAATAAATGGCCGGCCAATCCATCGTGACGATTTCACTAAACACTTCTGGAATGTTTATAACTCACTTTATTGCAAGCAGGTAAAACTTCATCAATCGTCTAATGCATTCATATTTGAAAGTATTCTCATCTTAATTACTGATATATTGGCTCTTTTATTGATATAAATATTTATTGATGTGTTTTTTTTTTCAGGAGGGCCAAAAGGATATGCCTGCATATTTCAAATTCATGACAGTGTTGGCTCTCAAAGTTTTCTTGGAAGAAAACATAGATGTGGCTGTGCTCGAGGTTGGCATTGGAGGTGAATATGACTGCACCAACGTTGTGAGGTGAACAATAGAAATTTTTTGTTCTCTCTAGTTGAGATGTACGGTACCGTACCTACTATGTCACACTTGGTAGTTGAGGAAAATTTTCATTTACTGCTAAACATTGGTTTAAGAGGATAGTGTAAAAATTGACTTGGTATTTTTTTAATGAACGATCACTACCTTTTTTATTCCTTGAATCAACATGCTTATTTTTGTGGTGATCAAGCTAGAGTTACCGTATGAGTAAAAGATACATAGGTATAATATTTCTTATGATCATCACTGTTGGTGGCAGGCATAGAAATATGCTGAAATTCGAATTTGTGAGTCTAAGGCTACTATGCCAATTCTCTGTGACTCAGTTTTATAAAGTTACTGAAATATTAATTATTGGATGAGATGCTGTGTTCTAATTACAAAAAAATTGACATTTTTTATCTCTAAGGCGTAAAATTCATTTAAATACTTTTTTATAATTCCTGTAATATAAAAGAAGGTGAGGTAGTGTGGAACGGTAAAAGAAGGATTCTTTATTGGTCAAGACACTGCAGATTAGTGATTGGCAGAGGCCTTTAACAAACCGCTAATAACGTAATAATAACATAACAGGCTGATTTTGGACGGTAATTTAACTACATTGACCGTGGGTCACCTAAATAGTTAATGTTAGAATCGTGATTATTGACAAATGTGCCCTTGATTTGAGCTGCAGTATCACCAAGTAACTTGTTGGCAGACGTGCACTTACCATGTGCCTCAATGTTACAGTATCTATTAAACTGTCGACAAAGCTGCCTTTACCCCCCAATCTGTGTCATCAAGGAGACATTTTGACCCATCATTTTAATGAACACAGGAAGCCTGTGGCATGTGGCATCACAAGTCTGGACTTGGACCACACTTCCCTCCTGGGCAACACTCTCGCTTCCATAGCCTGGCACAAAGGCGGCATAATCAAGCCTGGTGCTGGAGTCTACACCACTGCAGGGCAGGATCCTCAAGCATTCAATGTCCTGCTGCAGCGGGCTGCTGAAAAACAAGTACCGTAATTGTCTTTTAAATATACTGGGGAATTGTCTGAAAAGTAATGATAATCTGTTTTATATTTAGAAATGTAGGTTATTTTGAAGCATCACGCTAAATAATAAAGGGCCATTTGAATGTTAATCTACAATGCCTACCGGGATATCGAGTGGATGTTAAATCCAATGTACCGTATGCTTGTAGAAGCATGAGGCATTATAAAAAGTCAGAAGGGGTTGGATTAATTCTTCATTTAGTACATTATATCTGTATCGGGCTGTCTATTGTAGAATAAGAAAATGATGTAATAATAGTTTTTTATGTTATTCTAAGTGCAAGTTGCTGGTGTGTCCAGCTCTGGACGACTACTCAAGCTGGACTGGCGCCCCCATCCATCTCGGTCTTGCTGGTCAAGTCCAGCGCAATAATGCCTCTCTGGCGCTCCAGCTCGCCAGACACTGGATCTCTAAGCACGATGGTGTGAACAATAATAAATGATGTGATTGCAATAAAAATCATTCAGAATAAAAATAACACTACTTGTAGTTCCAAATCCTTTATCTTTAGTAGTCAAGAATTTGTCGATCATTCAGTAAATCTGGAGAAATGATCACTACTCTACTGATGGCAATTTAGGCTTTTAGATACCAGAAGTGAAGGTTGATATTCCTTAATTTATCCGCGTAAATATTACCTTATAAGATACATTGTTACCGAACAATAGAAGGGATTTTTTTTTTCAACTACAGAATTTTATTCTATTGACAATTTTATATTTTATACCTACCCATTGCAATATTTTTTCAACAGTTGGCAACCACGTAAGATCAAGCAGTGATGATCATGTCAGTGAGCCTCTTGGCCTCGATGTGGAAGGACGCGTCGCTCCTGCGTTCCCCTTGACTTACGAAGAGACCCGCGCCCTCCAAGAGGTTGTGTGGCCGGGTCGGTCCCAGGTAACTTATAGCTATTCCAGTTACTCATGATTCCAGTTACTCATCATTTGGTAGTGTACCATTTGGCGCTGAAATAAAATGATTTGAAAAATAATATCATTTGGCGTTGTAATTATTTAATTCTATTGTTGACAGGTGTTGGAGTTGGAGGGCAAGTTGACGTTCTTCCTTGACGGCGCCCACACGAGCCAGAGCATGGCGGCCTGCGCTCAGTGGTTCAGTGAGGCGTCCGAGCAGCGGCGAGTCAAGCAAAGGTGAGGCGGACTGATAATGAATTTCATTATTATAATGATAAATAATTTATAATTTTAACGAGACATCATGTAACCTCTGGCATGAGATTTCTCCAAATTTATGGTACGTGAGCTTATAATGAACATTTGCATAACAAACATAACAAAAGAATGATGTTCTAATGATCCTTTACGTAAGCCCGGAAAAATATAAAGTCATTTAAGTTTAATTGAGCGGCTATATACTCGATTGTGTGTTTGGGAAAGAACGAAATGTTCGGGAATAGTTGTGTAACGTAGAGTCTGTGTTGACCGATTGAAAGGAAGGAAATAAACATTACATTATTCAATTAGAAAAGAAGTGATTATGTATGCCGCTCCAAAGAATGTATTTGAACAATAATGCTAACAATTCACTTGATCGGTTTTTGGTGAATATTTGTGTTTAAAAATGTACACCATCACGAAGAACAAAATATCGGAGATTTTCTCTGAGCTATGGTTGCCGAAAGAGTTCTATTTACAGCTAAATTATTGCCTGTATTTTATGGGCGTGCAGACAGAGCCGATGTATGAAAGTTCTTTGGTTCAACGCTACCGGCGATCGAGATGTCCAGAAGCTGCTTCAGAAGTTGCTTGAAGAGGACTTCGCAGTAGCCATATTTAGCACTAACATGGCGTCACAGGACCCTAAATTTGTAGGTCAGTGCCAACCTTTAATTAATCAAGTGCTCTACTGTTAGATATTTTGTACAAATATTTTCTTTTTTAAGTTTTATTGCCATCTCAATAACATTTTCCGTAGCTTGTGAGGGGCTTCCCGAGACGATATTTTTTATTGTCATTTCATGTTAGACGCTCGATTTAGTATTTTCATTTCCCACCTATTCACTCTGCGGCAAGTATTCTCAGATGAAGTGTTTATTTCTTCAATTTTCCTATGTTTTCTTCCGCCTTCCGTCAAAAATGAATAACCTTTTGATAAGCCGACATTTAGTGGCTTAAAAATTGGTCTTATCTATTCAGCTTTGTGCAGAATTGTCTTGATGGATATTGAATGATTTAGAGTTCTTGTTTATGCATTATTTATTGTGCGTATTGACTTTTCCATTCGGCGTGGCACATTAACAGCACAGCACAAATGATCGCGAAATATTTTGTGACCTTCGATATTTTTGCAGACCAAATCAACAGGACGGTGTCGGGACGAAGCGTCCTGCTGCGATGCCAGACCAACTCGGAGACTTGGCAATTTCTGCTGTCGTCACGAATATCCCGTCAATGCTCAAAAAACATCAGTGCCGAGACAAAATATGAGCCCAGTGTCGTTTGTAAGGAGGAAAACCATATGGATTGCATCAATGTAAGAAAAATCAACGATGTAGACCATTTTCCTCTGAGAGATGTGACTGACTGCCGGCACGGCGAGCTGGGACATGAGAATTGTGGGGTTCAAGATAGTGGAATGAATGCGAGTAGTAGGGAGGGGACCCGAGAATTTCAAAAGAAACACTCGTCAGAAAAATATTCTTTATTGGATAAAGGCAGAAATACGTTCGAGTCTAATCCAGTAGCCATTGGTACCAATGTGAAAACCGAAAAAGAACCTTCAATTATTCACGAAAATCGAAACTCAACTTTGGAATCATGTTCTGATAGTGACTGTGTTAACATTTTGTCATCTACCTTTGTTGAAAACAAGCAGAGTGATCAGGCGAGAAAACGAGAGACTGTTCTACAAGAGAACATTTTCTCCACGAAAGGAATGAAATTGCTTGCAACTCAAATTTCCAATAAGCATGTGAAATCATGCTTGAAGGATGAAAATTCAACTGAGACCATAAACGCAAGTTTGGACCGGACACATATGTTGCAGCTCATAGGCGCCGACGACTCGGAAAATTCCTCACGAGCTGTGGTTATCCCATACATACAAGATGCCCTGCACTGGTTAATTAACTCAAGCTTGGGCCTCAATAACAACCAGAATGATTCAGAAAATCGCGCTCGAGATGATCACGTTAGTCATGAAGTAGATCCCGTACGTGAGGCGTTGGCAGAAGCTGATCAAATTCACGTTTTGGTGACAGGATCTCTTCACTTGGTTGGAGGAGTCCTAGCAATTCTGGATCCTTCTCTCGCCGACAGTCAGTCACAAAAACTGAAGGCGCCGATGCATAGACATAAAATGGCCTGTTATTCTTCCCCTGGTGCGCCGTGATGTGCCAAAATATTTTACTATAAGTAAGCGCAAAATATATCATTTGTTGATGCGGAAATATATGTTACCGTTTCAACATCAAATACTCCATGACATTTTCGAGAGAGCTGATGAGCGCTTAATGTTACCAGACTCACTAAATACAGCTAATTGATTACTGTTTAAATCATGCATGTTCCCTGACTGCGATATTATTCAGTTTAATTTAACTTTAAAACTATAAATTTAAGGACTTCCTTGTGAAATTTGTGTAATAAAATCATTGCGTGTCTATAAAGAAGTTAATTGTTGAATGAAATGCAATGCTTTATCTAATTTGTACTTACATAGCTTGTTGAGGTAGATATGTGTGTTTTTAAAATGTACCTAGTGCAGCTCAAAACGATCTTATTGAATTTGTATGGTGGCCTTATTGCAGAACCATTTTTTACTATACAGTATGTATATTAGTGCCTTTTAACGTGCGCTCCTCGTATGTCCCTCATTCCACCACTTGGTTTTTTTTCTGATTAGATGTTATCCCATAAAACTTTTTAACAATCAACAGCTCAAGATTTTTCCAGTATTCATGGTAAGCTTTCTTTGCTGTTGCTCTATCCTAGGTATAATTTTATCACTTAGCTGCCAGTAAACGTGCATTATATACCAGTTTTGAAAGGAGTTCCTTTAGTATCTGGAAAGGTTCAGTGAAGACTAGTATACGAATGCGTTAATATAGCTATGATAGATTGTTGAATGTTCATAAATGTAAATGCTAAATATTATTTAGCTCCATAATTCAGATGAGCAGAATTTATAATTTTTGTACCGAGTTATTAGAAAGAACTCAGTAATAAATAGCCGTATAGTTGACACGTCCATAAACCTTGTGTCCACTCTACATACTACCACTTATGAGTAAATGATCCAATTTACAAGTTTTTATATTAAACCAATATAGAGATATAACACATTTTCAGCAGCACATTTTTCAGTGATACTTTTTGAAACATACGGTGGGAAATCTGTAAGTATATTATAATATAGGACAATCCGAGTAAGTTCTTGACAGTGAATCCTTTTTTAAGAATTTCCATCGAGGTTAGGGATAAAAAAAAGCAACTTGCAGAACACAATTTAATGCACACAAACAAAAGTAGGTCAACAATACGGTAGTGCTTTGTTAATACGAATCGTTGCATTGAATGAATATAGAACCAGCAGTGAACTTGTACAGATAAAACTAAAGGGCGGAATATAAACTATTAAAAATTTCGAAAATTCGTTACTTGTCAAATTTTCTCCTGCTTCTCTCGTTGAGCTGTTATTCAGTCGATGAAATTTGACAAATCGGTGACACCAGTTATCTATGTTTCATACCGGTACTATGTATCTAGCATTGAACTGATAATAACTTCAAAATGCACACATTCGAGCCGACAAAGGAATCCAGGTTTCCCCGTGACCGAGGCAAAACTCCGAAATTCTGATCGACTTCTGTTGCGGAAATTCCTTTTCAAGCTTTACAGAGACCTGGGTACTTTTTGGAAGGTTTGACGCAGCCTGTAGTGGTGCTGTAGGGGGGCTGAGGGGTCAGATCCTCGTTGAGCACATTACCCCCAGGTCCGTAGTTGCAGATGTACTTGGCACAGTTGAAGTCGTTCCAGCCGCCCCAAACGCAAGGCTTGTTGTTGCCGAAGACCCCACAGCCAACTTCATGAGTTTCGGCCCATACGACCTGGCGTCAATTGGCAGCCATAAACGAGGATATTATTTGGATCCGTTTTAAGTGAATCATTACATTATCGTCTGGGTTATTTCCTTTGTGCACTTAAAGCAAATAAAACGAATTTCCTTTAAATATTCGTGGATTTAATAAAAAAAATTTTTGTTCAACGGTTAGGACGGAACGCTATGCCTATGTAGCGTCCGAATTTGTTCTAATGGAAAAAATAATTTTTCAAGGCCATGAAGATGCTACAGCATTTGAGAAGGAAAATTCCATCTATTGGTTGTACTGCTTAGACAAAGCCAAAGTGAAAACAATGCTAACCTGAGTGTAGTGGCCGATAACTCCGCCATTGGTCTTCATTGTGGAGCCAACCACGTCCTTGACTTCGCCGATCCATTCATCGATGGCTGCTTGCCAATTCGCTGACTGCTCGATATAGATCGAATACAATTGTTTCAAATGAATTGTATGCCACTTGATATTTTACTCATGATTATTTTTTGAGTTCTCATATGGATCATGCCGAGTAACGTTGAGTGACATGGTAGTAAATCAAAAATTCGTGGTCGAAGCACTTTAAAAATGTAAACACAAAGTTGTACTTGTATCAAAATCTTACAGTGATCGGTCCGCTGCTGCCACCAAGGTAGAAGTTTTGGCCAACCGCATCGTAGCCAGGGATGCGACTGCAGTGCGTCACTGCCGCAAAACCGACGAGCTCAGCATTGCAGTCGTGACCAGATACAAATTGCTCTGCCCAGCGCTGGAAAACATGATTAATGGGTTAGAAATGAATGAATGATTAAAGAGTTAGAAATAAAAAACTTATGAGTAGAGAAGATGAAAGAAGAAGACCCTTTTCAGTTTTTTTCTAACTTCTAGTCGAATCTATTTTATAATTACAATGGCAAGAAAACTGGATTGATGATACTCGCGGGGACCATTTTAAAGGCCGCGAAGGCTTCCACCATAAGATATAGACAAAATGATGCAATTATTAGATGAAAATATTCAACAGTGTCAAATATATATAATGAACTAGAATTCTACGTCAAAAGCTCCACCTGTGCAGTTCGAGCGAGGTCGTTGTTCCAGGTCAACTCGCGAAGGTTTTTACCAGCAGGCTGAGGGCCCGGTGACCCTCGGGTCTCTCCACCCTTCGAAATCTGAAGAAAGGCATAAGAATGAATGCACTACGCCTTAAATAATGCCGTTCATTAATTTCTAACTTCGGACTTTGATAAAATCCTAAGATTTTTCTCGCGTGGACTAATTCACAAAATTATATTGCTCGGTTCGTGTAAACGGATGCATCTCGATTCTGATATCTAAATAATCAACTAATGATAATATTATAAAAACAATACACTGTAACAATAGTCCATAAAGTGATCAATACAAATGATTATTGACACCTTTTGCCTGTATTCGTTATGATACTTCAAGATGAACGCTTTGTCAGCCTTCGACACTCCGCATGGTCCTCCATTGGCATCGGTAGCGCAGTTCTTGGCCGGGAAGCAGGTCGTGTGGTTGCTGCCAAATTTTGCGCATAGCGGGTCAACGGCGGCCTCGTTCGCTGTAAATTTGACGAAAATGATTATTTTCTAGTATGGTTTTGTGTGAAGTAAATGCATATAATTATATTACTTCTATGACCATGGATGATTACTACATTGTTAAAACTACTTGCAACAAAGTTACTTTTTGGTAGTTTGTTGGTCTAGAAATTGCTGAAATTTTGGAAATGGTTATTATCTTTTAGGTAATTTGTAGGTGTAGTAAAACCAAATAAGCAGATCAATTATTCTACGGTTTAGTGTAAGCTTACATTTATAAGACGTGCATATGTCACAGTTTATAGTAAGTTTGCACTTATAACACGTGTATGTGATGATTAGAAAACAGAATGGAGTTTATTCCGACTTATCCTATACTGAAAGAGATTTTGACTTGTAGGTATTGTTATTTTTAACGTTAGTGTACAATACAGAAATACGTTTCTCTATATACCTGCAAATTTTTGTGAAAAAAAAAAAAAAATTAGGGCCAACACTTACTTTGAACGAGCAAAGATATCCCAGTTAGCACGACGAAAATATTGGCCAGCATGTTCACCTGAAAAAAAATATAATTCCACTAAGAAAAATGGCTGGGTTGACGAAACGCAAATGAATTGAAAAATACGCAAATTATCGACGCCGCGACTCGGTAACACTTATTGAGCGCGCATGAAAATTTTCAGTTGATTTTAAAATTCCCTAAATATCTGAAACAATAATTTCTTCTGCATTAGCTTAGATACCAAAATCGCATAGAAAATTAAAGATGATACTTTGAATAATTTCTTACTCAATAATATCTACAACAGATTAGTTTGCTAGGCATTGTGAGATGAACATGGTGCCAGTATTTAGAAACGTCTACTGTAGAGTAGGAAGATTGACTCAAAAAAGAATACATTATCAATTCTAGAAAAATAAGTTAAAGTTAATTTCGGGATGATACGTTTGTCGTCGAAACATACGAGAAGTCCCTAAAGCAAAGCACAAAGCTATCAACTTTCAAGATCAACTTCAAAAATTGACCGAAACTGAACAAAGTTTAAATAAGCCATGCACATATGTTGCAAGAAGCATCGAAATACAGCACAAATGAGACATTATAAGCAATCAACTAAAACATGTAAAATATCCGAAAGGTAAAGCATTCTTTACTGCCTATTTTTCATAAATTGCAAACCCTTACCGACAAAATTGAGACTTACAAGATTTTGATCCGTCCAAAGGAAATTCGTAACCCAAAATGTCTCTGTTGGCATGATATCTGACTTTTTATACTTTCTATACGCCCACGCACCCGTTTGAACAACTGGTACAATATTTGAAAATAAACTCTGATGTGTGTTCTTATACGTGTAAAAATCGCGGGAGACAAGAAGAATTCTTTGTTTCGAAGACTGCACAAGTGGACATGTGAAGAGTCAGCGGGGCCCAGACGACAAACAGAGCTCCAACTGGACAATTTCTCGGATTTTAATTGTCATGACTCATCGTTTATGTTTATTCTGAAATTTTAACGATTTTATTTTGCTCTTTTTATGATTCAGCTGAGATGTCAAAAATGTTTGAACTGACTTACTGAGAAAACAGAACTAGACGATGTGGCTCTCTTCAATTTTTTTTCAGATTTTTTGCTCCACCAATCAGTAGTGGCGAAAAATTAGCGTTCCTTGAAACGATATTTCTTTATGGTGCATAAAATTTACTGTTGGTTTGACACAAATACGAAAATAAAGTGTCATCCCAGGACGAGTCTTTACATTCTGACACTGCAGCTGTTGAACTAAATCGTGAAAGAAGAACAGGTTTTTGTTAATTTTTTCGGAAACTAAAGCGGCACGTGGCAAGAAATGAAACATCAATGGTTCAATCATCAAACGCAATCAGGAATTCATTCAAGTGGCATAATTTAAATCCGTAATGTCCAGTAAATATTCTTGCCAATTTCGTATTTCATGGAATTCAACTAAATATAAACGGTAGGTGAATTTTAACATAGATCAAAATCTGCTTTTTCACATCTCAACCTCATGGTTTTTTGTGACAGCGATAAAGCAAGGCTAAGAGTAACTAAAATAAGAAGAAAAATGATAAAAAAAAGTTTTCAATGTTATTTTTAAAAATTTAAGTCAATGTTATACGAGTAGTACAAGCTAGTACACAAAAAACTACGTTTGGTACATTTCTCGTCTGCGTATTTTATTGTGCACAAATTTATTGATATGAATTAAAATAAATTAAAATTTTTTATTAAAATTCAAATAATTATTATTATCAAATTAAATTTTTAAATATGATAATTATTATAATTGTTAATAATTAATATAAATTTAAATGTATTAAATTTTTTGCAATAATCAAACACGAGTGAGATCATTTAGCTCATAGTGCTGTATCACCGTTCATGACGTAGTTCCGAAGGAATTATAACATCATCATTATGAATATTCCATCTATATATCATATGAATGTTATATCAACATAGGGTAACATGGGCAGCGAGCCCACTGCGGGTCACGGGCCCATAGCGGGTTTCTCGCTAAGTATGGCAGATATTGGTCCGTGTTCTCTACCGCCGGTCGACAGTTTCACTGGGATGAAGTGTACGGATTTACGTTTTGCTAAGTGTTTGCGTTATTAAGTTATTTGTGAATTACTGTTTTAGCCCAGATAAAAAATTATTTGCAGCTAAATAAAATTGTTTTCGATTACTGTAGATGAAGCTTTTGAAACTACTGTGAATTATATTTTGAAAGTAATATTTATAGGGATAACTTTGAAATCAAGTTTAGACTATCAGCTTTTAAAATAAAATGAATGTTGACACGATATAAATTGAAATGATACCAATAGTGGGGTAAGGGGCCCACGCGTGTCACGGGGCAAAGCGCCCATGGTGAAGCCTTTTGTTATACATCATTAGATTTGTCTCAATGACCTTTTCAAATCTATGACTAGCTTTTGAATTACAAATTACACTTAATATTGCATGATTTTTTGATTTGCCGCCTCAAGGCAGCAGGTTTAGTTTCTAGTTATGCGTATTTATGACCCCTTATCGAGTTATTGACTCTTACCATGCCTAAAGTTGATTTCAGTCAACATCAATGAGCCAAAAGTTGATGAGTTTTTATGGTGTTGGCTGAAATCACGATTAGGTACGAATTCTCTGCACATAATATCTGGATTATGGACGAAACTGGAACGAGTTTTTTCTTCTGATCAAATAAATATTTTTTTTTCTAGTCAAGGATACATTTTTCCATGTCAAGGACGAATTTTTTTATCGCAAGGATATATTTTTCAAGTCAAGGATATATTTTTTATGTCAATGAAATATTTTTCTTCACGTCATTATAAATTTTTAAGCCAAAAGTATATTTTTTCAAGTTAAGGATGTGATTTTTTGGGTTGTTAATAAATGAATGAATGCCATATTTTTTATTCAATTTTTCTTATTTTAACTGTAAAGTGTTGTTTTATCATTATTAAACGAAAAATATGCATTGTGGTAAAAGGACAAAGGTTTTTTGTAAAAAGGTGACACTTTTTTACAAAATAGTGTTTCATTAAAAATTGAATAACTCTATAGGCGTCTAATTCACATCATACATTCCTCATTAGGTTTACCTTTAAACAAAACAAAGAACCACCACGTATCAATTAAAACTTCATCAAAAATTTAGTTTAAAAAAGGAGGGGGCGCGATGCCCCATGTTGCACTATGTATTTTAATGTGCATCAATTAATAAAAACGTCATGAACAGTCTTCATCATAATAATGAAGAATAACCACGCAAAGTTTCAATTGTCAAAACTCGCCTTATCGGTAGCTCGTTAAGCTCAGATTAATCTGCAGAAAATTATGACTCTAGAAATTACGTTAATTTATCCTTAATATGAATAATAGATTATTTCCTGTGACGCTCCACAGGAAAGTAACCATGGCACAGAAATCCAAAGGGAGAGTAAATATCAGCTATAAATTTGCTAATGGGATTTTGTTTAATTCTTCAACTCGCTAAAATAAAATATTTCAACAAATATCTATGAAATTCCAAATATCAAACAAATCTGCAGAAACTATGTCAATCATAATTCAATGCAACGTAAGTTTTTTAATCATGATATTATTCACTCGAATGCTATCGTCGTATATTTACGGTGGGTGCAAGAAGCATTCGACAGAAAGGAAAAACTTTATTTGATCAAAACTTATTCAACCAAATAACATAAACAAACAATATTCTAATGTAAAGTTGAATGCTAAATGCAAATATCATATCAAAACAATAATATCATTAAATGTTGACTTGTTAATTGCAATTTTGGAAAAGTTAAGTTTTTCTTTCCACAAAGTTTTTCCTTTGTATCGGATACTTTTTGCGCCCACTGTCTATTGGTCGTACACAGACTCCAGTCGTAGTATAGGTCATATAGTATAGTAGTATATATAGTATAGGTCAATGGTTCTCAAGCTCTGTGATACGTACCACTGGTGGCATTCACGCACTATTCAGGTGGTTCGCGAACACATATGGAGTAATGAAAGATTTTTAATTAAGTTTTTTATGCACAAAAATGTGTACAGCGTTGCTTGAGGTTACTTAACAACTGCTACACATCGATTTACAACTGCTGCCTCACGTCACCCATCAGGTTCCATCGATCAATCGCTAAATTCAAAACGTACACTTACTTAATGCGCTTATATTATAGATGTTATTAGTAAGGTATGAAACACATAATATTTATATTAGCCGCAAATATTTGATATGTGCAGCCAGCGTATGCTATCTCTTAGTTGTACTTGATCACAAAAAATTTGGTAGCCACTAGTAGATTCTTCGTGACTGAAAAGCTTTCAAACAATGAGAACACAGAGGGCTCTTGTACTTCTGAACGGAGATGTAACAACACAGCCGATCATGAGAAGTTGTACTTTGGGTTGTGGCAGTCGTTTGTATGCCTTAATTGTATACGCATAACAACACACATTAATCATTATATTTATTAAAAGATTCCGAGCAAAATCTGTGCAATATTCAGTACAACTCGTCGCTTGCATCTTTATATTTTTCATTCTCTCACTTGTACGGACAAACTTAGTTAATTAGACCTGCCATAACTGATGGTAAGTCAATTTGAATGTCTGCATCGCACGTTTCCAAACAAGCCACTTTGAATGGCTTGATTCCCAACTTGCTTATACTATAAGTATTTCGAGCACATTTTTCTGTCCCGATGTCATTTCTATGCTAACATGTACGATGTTTGAGAACAGATTGATGAGAGCAGAAAGTTATAGATAGATACCTTGAAGAAACACATTTTTCTTTAAGTACCACTGATTCATGACATTGTCTAAAGGGAGGCAATGCCCTGAATCCGAAATGATTTGGTCTAGTGGCTTAGAATTATATTCGTGAGTGGTCATATATTGAGGAGTTTACGGTACTTCATGGATATATTATCTTGATTGTAAGCGTAGTGAACAAAAATATGAAAAACTCTACTTAAAACGAATAGTTAACAAACTAGTGTAAAATGTGAAAATTTAAACTAAGTTATAAAATTAATAACAGAAAGTCTAATAGTTAATGGAAAATTTAATGTTCGATTGCTCGGGTCAATGGGTTTTAATTTCGAAAAAATGTTAACATTTAGATATAAAATTAGATATATGACTTTTCTCTACTTCTGAAATGTAATGACCTAAGATGCCTGTAGAACAAATAATTTTGGAAAAACTGCATAATACCATCATTCAGTTTCTAGCCTGGCATAAATTATATTTTCAGCACCTGAATAATGTGCAAATTCACCGTTCTATATGTAAGGACGACAACGTTAAAAAATTCTAACATCAAAATACTCCCTATTCCACTTCTCAAATACTATCTATATAAATTTTCATCCACTACTTTATTCGGCCGACTTTTCCCAGCTGAAAATTTTTATGAAAAGAAAGTAAAAATATAATACAGCAAAGAATACGGCAAAATAAGGCAAAAATATTTCATTTTGCCATCTACACTTATCAAGCGGACAAGGGAATCTTAAATTAAAACTAGTCAACGAACATTTTTTAATCTGCAGTTTCAAAACTTTTTACTTTACAGCGAATGATGATATATCTTGATTCCAAAATAATCCACGTAAAAATCGCTCGAGTGCTTTACTGACAATGTTTTATAGCGAAAAAATAGTTAAAATATGTAGCCCAAAAATTAGTGGTTTAGTATCAACACTCATACTCATGCTCATTCTAGTACACCTGATACTAAAACTACTTTAATAATGAACAGTTACAATTTTCCCAGAATAATTTTACTCTTATACTGAGTACTATAATGATAAAGAAATCGTGGACGTAATAGGCTAAATATTTTGCATTACAGGATAAACAAAAGTTGTATACGTCGAATTATATACGACGAATTGCTCGATCTTTGATTATTTCATTCGGATTCCGTCTCCAAACTGGGGCAATGGGTATAAGTTCACTATGAATAATGGATATTGAGGATCAATTAATGAAACTTTGTTATATACTTCTAATCTTGACCAGCGAGCCATTATTTCAAACAACTCGAGATGAGATAAGCGTTAATAAAGTGGTTTGTCCGTTTTACGGCCAACCACTGTCCGTAAAACAGTTGTTTGTTTAAAAACAGTAAAACAAAGTGGTTTGCTATCCGCCCCTTTGAGGGCGCACAACAAAGGCCCCACCCATAGCGCAACGGTGGACACATCCCAAACGCATTCAAGATGTTACCATCTAAGGTTCCTACCATTTAAGATTCCTAAAATACCATCTAAAGTACCATCTAAGATTCTTAAAATACCATCTAAGGTCCTTACCGTCTAAGGTCCCTACCATCTAAGGTCCCTACTGTCACGTTCATTTCAACGTGTAAAAATAGTATCAATATATCTTTGACCGAGGAGCTCGAGATAGTAACTTTAAACTGTATAGTAAATATAATGTTAAATGTGTATCGTAGTATGCAAATTATCGACTTGTCTGCTAATTCCGGAAAATTCAAGTCCGGCAGCACCCACGCAGTCTATGCGCGCGCAGTTGAAGTTTGGAACGGCAACGAGGGAAGCTGTGCCAAATTTATTTCTGTGTTTCTATGTGTTAAATGTGAAATATGTGTATTTTCTGGGTGATTGAGATTTTATGAACGAGCAGAAACTGTTTGTGAGAATATCAGTGATTACTTTTTATTCCTGAAGAGGCTGAAGCTGTTGTGTGAAGTTGTACGTCACTTAGTCAAGATGGGCGCCTCTAAGCCAGCGGCATATCACAGAATGTCCGTTATATTTGAATTATTTGTTCAATACATTAGGGTTTGATTTGAATTAACTTATTAAATCAACCAATACAGCGTCATCTCAAGGCGATAATTGTCGTGAGCTAGATCTAGTAGTTTCCGTTCTGCCCTAAAAAATAGAAATCTTGTGGAGAATGCTTTGTAATGGCTTGTGCTACAGATGATCATTTAATCATTGCAAATTGATTTGGCTTCTTTTTTAAGCTAATGCGTGTCAAGTGTGCCTTGGTTGTATGGAAATATCGTCGATTTGAGAATGAATGGGATTGTCAGAAAAGCTGCTGTGCTGTGAAGTTAAATTGGTTTATAGTTCCAGTCTAAATACTTTATTCCATATTTGCAGGTATCGTACGGTATTGCTAGTAGTATAAAAAGCTATTCGTTAGAAATAGCATTGAAGAATTGAAGTCCACATTCGTCTTTCTAGAGCCTCAAAGACCGTAAGTTGAAGAACCTACGAATTTACCCTGTGTCATGTTAATTACCGTGGTCAGCCAGTTTGGAAAACTAGGCCAGTAACCTAGCAGTAGGTAATTACCATTAGCAGTCGGCCTGTATGTAGAGGTGCCAGTAACCTAGTGCTCTAGCAGTAGCCTGCTTCTGTCAGATCCTCAAAAAGATCCTCATTTTGTTATTGCTAATGAGAGTAATAGTGAATAATTAAATCTGTCGGAATCATTTGTGGTCGGCTAGATGTGATCGCTCTACCGTTCATTATTGCCCGCTCCGTTCTAGGTGTCTTATAATGAGGCTATAAGCTATGTATTCAGTTAGAGTCATGAGACAGATCGACGAGATTGATTAGATTAAGTAGAGTACGATTGATCTCGTGTCTTGAATGTTGCACTCGCTTGAAATTAGGCAGCTCCTTTCTGGAACTGTGTTCATAAAACTAATTATCATCCTAGATGATCATGGTGCTTCGTATTTTCGATTTAAAGCAGTTCTCTTCTAGAACTGCGTTCATTAAACTCTAATTATCATTATATGATCTCGGTTTCTTGTATGTTCACACTCTTATAGAATCCTGTACGTGCAGGTTTCGACGCCGAAATATAAGGAAACAAGGATCAAGTCTGCCGACTTATTACCCCCTTATTAAATCGTGCGTCACAAAGCTCTTGGACTAACATAATTACTCCGAGAGCGGAACACCTACACCATCTAAGATCCCTACCAACTAAGCGTCCTAAAATACCATCTAAGGTCCCTACCATCTTAGATTCTTAAAATGCCATCTAAGGTCCCTACCATCTAAGGTCCCTACCATCTAATGTCCCTACCATCTAAGATTCCTAAAATACCATCTGAGGTCCCTACCATTTAAGATTCCTAAAATACCATCTAAGGTCCCTACCATCTAAGATTCTTAAAATACCATCTGAGGTTCCTACCATCTAAGATTCCTAAAATACTATCTAAGGTTCCTACCATCTAAGATTCCTAAAATACCATCTAAGGTTATTACCATCTAAGATTCCTAAAATACTATCTAAGGTTCCTACCATCTAAGATTCCTAAAATACTATCTATGGTTCCTACCATCTAAGATTCCTAAAATACCATCTAAGATTCCTAAAATACTATCTAAGGTCCCTACTATTTAAGATTCCTAAAATACCATCTAAGGTCCCTACCATCTTAGATTCTTAAAATACCATCTGAGGTCCCTACCATTTAAGATTCCTAAAATACCATCTGAGGTTCCTACCATCTAAGATTCCTAAAATACCATCTAAGGTCCCTACCATCTAAGATTCCTAAAATACCATCGAAGATTCCTAAAAGTATCCGTATGTCTGCAGAGATGCCAGAAACACGTAGATGAGCCACAGAGCGATCATCAGGAAGCCAGTCATGTACTTAGGAAAAGCAGGGCCTCCGAGTTCTGCTTTACCGAAGTAAGGGATCGTCCTGGAAATGAGAATATCATTATTAAACCAGCAAACCCAATTAAAGTTTTTAATAATGTTTTCACGGTGGAATGCGAGGCAATACTTAATTTAATTTCACCGTTAGCAATAAGATTCATTTGCAAATAAAAGTTTGTTAGGCTGATATTCAGAAATAAGTTTACTGTTCAAGAATTATTATGCACATATGAATACAAATTCCAACGCTCATGGACAATGCTTACTCTGGAATTTGCCTCAAACTAGAATAAATATATAACTTTAGGGTATAATTTTAGATCTAAAAAATTAACTTTTGACCATGAGGTTAACGGGAAAGATTGTATACTTATTGTATTGTTAATTGTGAACCCAATCCCTGATAGACGTTGACGCAAATTTTTAAACCTACGACATGCGATTTACGAGTATATTTCTTACTAGTGTCCGGGAGCGAAGCCGTGGGAAACAAAATTGACTCGTAAACAGGCCCTGGGCCTAACGCCAACCATCAGCATGCAATATCTACACTTGCCTCAGACCAATGAGCTGTGGGTAACTCCGGCTAACAGTAAATCCGCTTTGCACAACACAGCCACTGCTTCACAGCGCCGGAGCGCAACAGGCCGGAGCGCGACAGGCCCTACCGCAACAGGCGGCGCAGGTTGGGTTAGGTTACGTTAGGAGTAGCTGTTGCGGTAGGGCCTGTTGCGCCCCGGCCAGTTGTGCTCCGGCCTGTATGCGCTCCGGCCTGTGACTGAACTGCGCTGTTGCGGTGGGCGCTTTGTGTCAAAAGCCGTGAAGATGCCCGGCTGCGTTACGCTCGGAAAGGATATATGAATCGCACTGTGGACCTCTAGCTATCCACCCGGCCCTAGTGTCCTTCCTCAAAAGCTAATCGCCTCAAGGTTTACGGTTCTATACCTTCTGGCTATGATCAGGCCGAGGCACACGGCACTGAGGATCGTGAAGAGTCCTACGCTGAAGCCCAAGTTGCCAGATTCCACATAAAATGTCGATTTCTGAAACACAAACAGCTGTAATCAATATAAATTTATAAAATGAATGATCTGTGAAACCTATGGTGATACTAAAGTATAAATTTGCATTTATTCTCTTCTCAGTTTTAGATATAATGTTTAACATGCTCAAAGGAGAATGGGAACTTGCTTGAAAATCAATTTTCATGCCTGCATGACTGACTAATTTTCGAGTTTTGATGTGATAGCTCCGTCATGAACGATATCATTCCGATGCTAACATTGGTTATCAAGTGGAATGATTGCTTAAAAATTCGTAATCATTTTAATTCAACTGCTATCAAAATATTTGAAAAGAAATTGTCAGCTCACGGGTGTACCTTATCGTCCTTTGAAAAAACACGCTGAATTTGCTTGAATTCGATGGTCGTCATTGGAGGAATTCAATTTACTCTCGGGCACTCTTAGAGTACAATGCTTTATTTAATCAACGACGATCACTATACGTTCATCTAAGTATTCTGTATAATATCAATCGGCCTGTCATCGGTTGTCATCGGCCTGTCATCTCCTAGCTTGCAATGAAGGTCATTATCGATCCTAACATTGACTGAATGATAGAAAAGCAAATCAACACCCTTGCACTGAATGTCTTAACGCTTCTCACATTGACTGAACGGTCAACAGACAACTCTTAATCCCCTTAAACTAAATGCCCTAAGTTCCTAACGCTTCTCAAATTGACTGAACGGTCAACAGACAATTCTCAATCCCCTTGCACTGAATGCCCTAAGTTCCTAACGCTTCTCACATTGACTGAACGGTCAACAGACAACTCTCAATCCCCTTGCACTGAATGTCCCAAGTTCATAACGCTTCTCACATTGACTGAACGATCAACATACAACTCTCAATCCCCTTGCAGTGAATGTGCTAACGCTTCTCACATTGACTGAATGGTAGACGGCAGCAATGAGCCACGGCAGGCCGAGACCAAGGAAGACGTTGACGGAGTTGCTGCCGGTGACGTTGCCGATGGCGTTGTCCGCGTGCTTCTCCTGCACGGCCGCCGTCTTCGATGCGAAGGTGTCGGGCAGAGACGTGCCCAAAGCCACAAACACGATTGCTGAAAATTGGCAATGATAAAAATTAGTAGTCATGCCCACAACAGATAATAACATAGATATGAAGGATTGTCTCAATATGCTCTAAGTTGTGGCACGAATACGATGAATATATTCTTGTGCCAGTCTTTTCTTTGTTTTGCATATAAATCTACACGGAAAATAGATTATTGATATCGATATAGTGCAAGACTACATCTCACGGTGTAGCTGCGCAGTTCAGCAGGCATTTGTGTAAATCAGTGATCCGCTGATTTCTTGTGGACTGTGTCGAACTTAGTACTGGTTTTCCTTTTCTAACCGAACCGCATAGCAGAGTGGTTGACCCGTTCTGTCGTCAGGAATTTGTGTTTCCAGTGTTGAGTGACTGGTAAGGCTATGGGCCGAGTCTCTAAGCAGCCGGTGCCTCTAAGCAGCGAGTTTTGGAAATTCCGAGGAGGCATCCAAGTGATCGGAGTTACAGCATCGATCAGAGAGTTCGGAGGCCCAAGGAGGTGTCACAGCGGTCACGACCGTCAATTCGTAGAGTTAGGCTGTTTTTGTTTGGATGTGTGGGGCCTCTGAATCCTTGTCGTGGTGGTTCCTTGTTGGTTTGGGAGGGTTCTAACTTATCCATTTGCATTGTGGAGTAGGTAGGTTATATGGGTTCTGTTACATATTTAGGTTTCATTTAGTTTCACTGGGTTTTATAACCGCGTAAGAGCGTTAACTTGTGTAATAAAAATTCATGAGCCAGTCTTTAGAAAACCCTTTTTAGCGCATTTCTCATTTATGGATAAAATGCCCTATTGTGCTCGTCATATGTCCGTCCGTCTGTCTGTCCGTCCGTGACTTCACGTTTTCGTCGTCGAGAAAATGAGCTCTGACACTCACTGCAGTGAGTACTGAGTTATATTTTTTTGAATTTACCTAATTTTTAATGTTTTATCACTATCGAATCTGAAATAGACTGCGATAGACTGCAATAGCCGTTTTATGTTGATAGCTCTCTCGCAATAACGGTTGCACGGTTGCCGCTTGATGGAAGCACGGTAAAAACATGCGATTGGAAATCTGGGTGCAAATTTGAAATATAAATCCATTCTACTCTTGTAAGCTCATGTTGGTTATTGCTAACCGTCGATATTTGATGGGACTTAGTTCACCTGGAAGTTCATTAGAGGCCTAAAGTTTTACTTGAGCCAATAAAAAGCCTGTGATTCGTTTGTTCACATTATTTGCCTGTCCCGATCAAAATTGAGAGCCTGATGTTGATGATTAGACATTGGGTAAAATGGACTTAATTAGTATTCATTGATAGTCTGATTTTCAAGATTAGATAAAGATTCCTCAGCGATCACAATTAGACGAAACTTGTACGATGTTTAACATTGAGTAAATGAGGAGTCATATGTTAGCATGTGAATTAGAAAAGGTGAAATGCTCAGCTTTCTAAGAATTCATCTCTAATTAGAAAGATATGAAGAGAAATTCTAGACAGAAAGTTGACCTGTAACGGCGTCATGGAGTCCGACAAGACAGCCAAATATGGACGCCAAGTCGCCGATGATGGCCGACAGGACGCCGATGGCGGCAAGCGAGACGAAGAAACACAACCAACCGCCAAGGAAGCATGGCGGAGGGACCAGCGCGAATATTACCTGCAACACGTAATTTGTGTACTTCCTAATTAATTATTCTGTGCCGTGCGTTCATATGTTTGGCTATTTTACTATTCATCACTCTTAGGATCATTTAAATTTAGATGTGTTCTGGTTGTTTCGTCTTTCACCACGATGCGACTGTAAGAGCAGTACATGTTACATATTTAGTGATTTCGAAAGAGAGTTGAGGCGTTTCTGAATTTTGCTTAAAATATTTTTGAATTCCTAACATTATATGTTATTTTCTGTATCCGCCGTTTGCTTATACTAGTATGTTGGTTTCCCTGTTTCTGGGGAGTGAAAGGAATCGCTGCAGAATTAGGTGTTCTGTAACTGATTGTCTCCTATTTATTTATATTTTGAGGAGACGTGAGTATTAACGTATTCGTTTAACTCTCATAAAATGACCGTCATTTCCGGCTGTGTTGCACGAGTTATTGGTTTAAGCTGGAAAGTGTCATTAATTCATTCGTATTTGATCAAATCGAAAGAAGTCATTTAATTGACAATAATTATTGAGAATTGACAGTATGAATTTCGAAGATATTTAGCGACTTGTTTCTGAATCGGGTATTTATCTAATGACTGTTGTACATATACTCAATTATTTATCAAATCAAAATATAGTTCATTCATTATTTCATTACTTTTCCACTGTCTGAATGACCTTCAAATGTTTACATTTAATAGTTCCTTGATTAAGAGTTGACCAATTAATAACTGTTGTTGATTAGTCAGGCGATCTTAGGAAATCTTCCATTTTAACCCTGTCATATTTGACTAAACATTTCAGCGATGTACAATGCATGGTTGAATTAATATCAATTCAACCACGGTGCAATGAATCGTCGTTTAATTAGGGACTTGTTCAATAATCGTTGTAAATTCATATTTTCATCAACCAAACAAAATTTGTCGACTTGACACTTTTGCTGCAACCATGCGAATTTCCGAAGTGTGAAGAAGCGGTTGCGTCTGATTAGGTTAAATCATCTGTAACTGTTCTTCAGATCCATGTGACTATTTCTCATGGAGTTACGTCAAGGAAGCTGTTTATGTCCCGCCTCTACCAGCAACTCTGTTTACGCCCCGCCTCTACCAGCAGCTCTGTTTACGTCCCGCCTCTACCAGCAGCTCTGTTTACGTCCTGCCTCTACCAGCAACTCTGTTTACGTCCCGCCTCTACCAGCAACTCTGTTTACGTCCCGCCTCTACCAGCAACTCTGTTTACGTCCCGCCTCTACCAGCAACTCTGTTTACGTCCCGCCTCTACCAGCAACTCTGGTTGATCTTCTGAAGAACCGTTTCACTGCTACGGTGCACTCAGTAACAGAAGATATGCTTTCTCGTGTGTGGGACGAGTTTGGCTACCTTTAGATGTTTGCCGTGCAGCACAAAGGGGCATATGAAAAGTTAAGGATTACCTAACTACTGTACAAAGTATGACTTTCACCACCTTCCAGCCGAAAGTGAAGAAATGCAACACATAGTCCAATGTTGTGGTGTTCTCGTAGTCCCCGCCGTTTACGCTAAACGCGTCTCTGATCTGACTCATGTACGTCTCGTGGTGGACTTGAAAATCGTGCAGGTTGGCGTTGGTGAGGTTTCGTATCTTCGAAATGACAGTGTCGAAATCTGCCCGTATTGCGATTTCGATTAGAGAAGACATAAGGATTAACAGATATGCATTAGGGAAGAAATAAGATGTGAAAGATGAACTCTCAGACGAGTATCAAACTTGATACTCAACATGGTCGATTTAATTCATGACTTCATTGGTAAATGATCTTGCTACTAGTGTCACTACTTAATTAAGATTCATTGCTTGGCAATTTAACTGTGAAAATTTAACCTAAGCAATGCACCAAAACCCTACGTTACGGCTCTAAAGTGTACCTTGATATTTAAAGTTCTGACAGTGGCCATACTTTCAAAACTCGCTAAGTGAACGTAAGTACTTACGCTCTATTTACGCTCGTAAGTACTTACGCTCTATGATTGGTAGATTTTGCTTGAAAGGCCGTCAATGATTGGCTAATGAACTTACGATCTCTTAACTATTTTTGAAAGTATAGGCCCTGGATAACAAGACAACTTTTACGTATTTTTTAACTTTGATCTCATTTGGTAGATTCGATTCTGTAGACTGCCTGGTGCAGTAATAATGACCTAGCCCTCACCGTCATCACTGGTGATGGTAACCGCAGTTCGGTTGATGGGTCCCAATGTAGCTCCGCCCTCAGGGTCGTAAAGCTCAATTTCGAAATGCGCGTCTTTATTCTCGCTCATGTCGTCTATGATGGGGATCTCGATATTCAACTCCACCTGGTATCGGAAGGACATTGGCTAGGGATCCTGGACAGTGACTAGGTTGGGAGGAATTTCGGTCACAATAAGTCTTGACAACTAATTTTAAGGATCATAAATTAGCTGTGAATGGTTTGGGACGAAGGAACAACCTCCCAAAAATCGAAAGAGAGTAGCTCAAATCAGGAACTGGTCAATTGATGATAGGTGAAATAGTAATTAATAATTTAAAGCAAAAAAGAAAAGGCACAACATTCTCACCGCAAACTTCTAATGTTAGCTTCATCTGTTCAAAATTCGATAACGCATGTACTCGTATAGTTAAATGAGCGACTTAAATTCTAAACAGTAGAAGCGATTAAAATCATAATAACCAAAGGCAAAGTCTCCTAAAAACATATCGGCTAATAATTTCAAATGGATACAAATTATACGCGTTATTCTGGCAAGGTTTTCTTCTAAAATATGCAAAGCTTCCATGTAAGTATGCAAACATCTATGATCGGCATCAATCTAATATATTAATAGTAGAAATATTGGAGTAAGGGACTTCTGTCGACACTAAAAGTTAGAACCAGGAGCTAATTTGCTTAATGTGCGTACTTATGGAATTATTTAATAACATCGAAATCTACTGAAATTTTGTTAGAAAATGTTATTACCACTGTGTGTTTGAAAGTGAGCACTCCCTCGCCTCCTATGTAATCCTTTTTATTGAAGGCTGTGTGGTCGAGAGTGCGCCATTTGACAGAAACTTCTCCATCAGCGCCGTTCTTGCGCACCACGGGCACCAGGGTGGTGCCACAGCTTTCCTTTACCAGGACACCGCGGCGCTGGAACTGCAGAACTCCGGGCTCTGGATGGGTATGACGAAATCTCACTTCATTCGATACCCGTGGAGTACCATTAAAATACTTTTGCAACTATCCCATTCAAAATTTGGAGCAGCATTTGAGCCGTTTGGCACCGCTCATGGCAGACTTGATGCTTTGAGTGAGCTGTATGCTACAGACGTGTTAATTTTTGAGGCCTACGTACGTATTAAAAGACAGGCTCACATCAAGCTGCTAATAGGTCACTTCCGGAGCTGGCATCATGAATTATGCTTCAAGACTGCTGGTATGCAGCCGGCATTCATGATGCTGCTATAAACCTGCTTAATTGGCGTAGTCTCGTGCTTGGAGTTCGATTTGGGATGGTTCAATATTGTCTTTGACTGAATAAGAAAATCAGAATCAATTAGAAAACTAAATTCACATCAAAGATAAAAACATAAATTGACAAAATAAAAACAAATACACATAAGGATACAGGCCTATCTATTTACAATTTCAAGGGGATAGGAGCTGAAGGCCGCATTTAAACCAGGTTTCTGTTTAAAAATATACAGGGATTAACGTTTCGGAGTCTTTGACTGTTGTTGGCTTCTGATATGGAATTAATAAACGGCTACCTTCGACTCGAGTAAATGACTACCTTTTATTTTTTAGCAAGTTTTGTTATAATTGGGTTTCCGTCCAACAGTGGCGAAGTAGCTCCCGTACGAAAATTTACTAATTCATTTTGATGTTGTTTTTCCAAGCCACTTGAATAAAAACGATGATTCTTATTGTAATTCAAATTTCATTTGAATTGTGCAGTTGGTACTTTTGATTGACGAGATAAACTCGTATGGAATGCACGTACGATTTATTAGAAGTATCACCCTTCAGCTAACATTGAAGATTAATTATATAATCACCATCGTCACTGTGAATGACAATTTTCATGATGCTGATCTTGCCGAGCTGGACGCCTTCCCTGTCTTCGCGGTGGGGCAGCAGGGACAGGCGGAGGTAGAACTCCTCGTCAGGCTCCCATTGTTTATCATCCACGATCGCTACCTCCACCTAGTTATCATCAAGTAAGTTTCATTCCCCAACAACTACTGTCAAAAATTAAATCATATTTTTTTCAAATGGAATCGTTTTTACGTTTTCAATGCATGCAATATTGTTGATGAAATTGAGTGGGATTCAACAGCCTGCTATTAATAATTTTTACGGGAAGATAAAATATGGATGCCAGCCTATGCCACTTTTGAAAATCGAAATATTTAATTTTATATGAGAACCAGGATTTAACTATTTGAATTAACAGTATATAGAGTTATGTATTATGATATATACCTACCATTTTTGAGACTTCGCCAGGCTCAAACATGATCACTTGATTGACTCCTACGTATTCTTGACCTTCTTTAGCGGTGCCATCGATGGACTCGACTCTAAAAAAATAAAATTGATTTGATTCGATGAAAAAAAATTGCTTCAGTCGTTCAAGGAACATTGAACGTAGAAATAAATTTGAACTGTAGGTGAACACAACATGCAGGGAATCGCGAATAATATAGGATGTTGACTAGCTCAACCGCAAATAACTAGTCATTACAACCAAATTAAATTGTATAACGATACATAAAAATAGAAGGAGGGAAATAAGTAGTGGAGCAACATATTTCTGAAGGATAAGTTCCAGTGATATCTTCTTTAGGAGACATGGAGAGATTTAACAGTTTAAAAAATCATGTTTACGGAAATAAAAAGAAAAATTAATTGGAAACGGCATACATCGACGGCTACTAAACATTGCCAATACAAACTGGACACGGTCGAAACAATTGGTGGAGATTTGGTTCATGCATTTACATTATTTTTCTCAGATAAAAGCTATAATTTACTAAAAAAAACGTTCATGTTACCGCATAAATCTTACCTCACTTTGACTGTGTGGTCCATACTTCCCTTGCGGTTCACCTCAACCTCAAACTTGCCGATGTTTTCCACGATGGCGCAAGATGCAGCGTGGAAGTCGATAACGGCATTCACATCTTGCCTCACCTCATGTTGGGAATTGGAAGGACAATTCAAGTGTTGAAAATGACATGAGATGCAGTTAATGAAGTAGACTTCGGAATAACGAATTGCGAAGAGTCAACGCGGCATCCCCGCCCGCGTTATGTGTACAAGTCGTAAATTCGTCGTAAATTCAAACCATAAGACGACGTCCCATGCTGTAAAAATGTCCCAATTCTACACCGCTGCCTGCGTTTACTTACAATACCGAGGCTAGACTAATTGATATTGCTGAGCTAAACAAAATTTAATCAATGAGAGACGAAAATCTGATGTTAATATTTGTAAATATTCTTGTTGAGATTGATGTTCTAAGATGTTGATGTTCGATGTTGATGATGATGATGTTCGATGTTGATGACTAAGTCCTGCAGGTTGATGTTCAAAGTAACAAGGTAACTCTTCTGTTGGGGTTTCGATACGGCAAGAGAAAGTGGCATTATTCATCTGAATATCTGCATGCAAACTGCCATGAACGTCGACCAATGCGAGAATGATCTCATTCTGTTTAATTTCCGGTGTAAGATAAAAAATTCTAATAATTTTTTGGAAAATCGCGGAACATCCTGGCAGACTCTGTTGAAACTCTGTCATCCAAATAAAAGCAGGCGACAGGGCGTTACATCGATGCCTTTTTAATCGTGCAGATCATGCAGGTAATCAAGTGAACTGTCGATTCTATACTAATTGGACCCGATTCAGGGCGTTCATAGCGCTCAAGCTGGGATATTCAGAAACCTTCAGTTGGTTTATAGAGACCGATCGGTAAACCAATTGAGAGACTTTGAATCGTAAATATTTATACGTAAAGTTGTGCACCATAAATCCTGTGTCATATGTTCAATTACTACCATGTCGTAAGTCAGAAAATAAATAACGATGCGGTTCGCCCATATCCCAACCCTTTGACGGGGGATCCAGAGCTCGTGTCATGACCACCACAATAAAAATTCTGCATGTTTAAGAGGCTGGGGTAACGCAGGTCAGTATACATTGTCATCTGTGGGATTTCTTAAATAAGTCTGTGGGCTTTAACTCCACTCTTAGAAAAGATATATAAGTCTGAAATCTTAAATGCATTACTGCTATTTATTCTCAAATCGTGTACATTACCACAAATTATTTGAACTTTGTATTACAACTGTTATCATTAAGGGAAATTTTGCACCCCATGCTGGAGACGCTCTCGGATTTTACCATATTTTCGACATGTGCGAGGTTTATTACCATGTATCCTCAATTGATCGGTATAGCAGCAATTCTTGTAATAGATCCAATTTAAATCCTAGACTTCCACGCATAGGCTCTTTCTCATCAGTACGTTAACCTTCGTTTGACGTGAGCATATCGAGGATTGACTGTTCAAATTCAAGATCAGATGTACGGCTGGCATTGCAACGATTGAGGGGGTTGTATATAATCTCAAATAATTGAAATGAAATGGTCACGTCCTAAATTGAGCCAAGACGCTAACTCAATGAGACAAAAGAGTAATGCTCCTTTATAAGTTGACAATCAAACCAAATGTTAAAGAACATTGCAAAATGTAAAAAATATTTTGAAATACTTAAAATTTCGATCGCATACGATAGAATTTCAAGTAGTGCAACAGGAGCACTTTATGAATCGGGATTCTTGTGGTAGAATCCTTACTCATAGATCTTCCTTTCGAGCAGTGAAACATCCGTAGATTAACGCAAGATTTATTCATGCGTTATCTTACGTTGGAGGTGCAAGAATATGCCCCTGTGCCAAAAAAATCTGTAGTTCATTAGTGACGTCGGCCTTCTTCCTGTCCCTTCTTCCTCAGACCCCATCACTCTTTCCAAGTGCCTTTTTGTTGTCGGTGACCCATTAAGTTACAAAGAATGGCTTATATACGTAGTCACGAGGATTTCAACAAGAAAGGTTCAAAAGGAACTCCGTGATAAATGAGAAAAACAAGACAGAGCAACAACACACCAAACGAAAACCAGGAGCAGTACTTAGAAACTTTTTTCGCGCCATTATAATTCTAAGGTAAAGAGTAATTGATTGAGTATCTATGTGATAATAGAAAAAATATTTATTATTTTATTGTATAAGGTACAACGAAGTCAACATTAATCTATGAATAATCCTCGGTATGAATATCTTCAGAGGATATTTTTAAGATAAAACAAGCAAGCCGCATTGGGAGCATTGTTTTGGATAAAAACTTACATGATTATCTCGAAAACATGACATGAAAGCAGATGACAAATTTTACTCCGCCCATAAATTTTCGCACGTAACAGTTGCATGCAAATTCACTTAATTGCACGGAAAAAAGTAAGGGTAAGTTTGATTCACTCAATGAGTCTAGTTAGATTCGAAACTATGAATAAATAAAAATGAAAAATTGAATCAATAAAATGTTATGCTGAAATTGAGGCAAACAGTGGCAGAGGTCAGATTTAAGTTTAATCAGATACGATCAAGCTCAATCAATGGATTATGTGGATACATAACACCCAAGGTAATGATTTCAAACTGCAAAAAATAACACCATTAACGATGAGACTCGTGAAATCGCTTACAGCTCGTAAAAGTGAACAAAAAAATGCAAGGCTTTATACATCTTCAACTGCTCAAAATATCCGTAAACGGCATTCACTGACCCACAGTTTGTGTGCCACGTCTCAGAAACATTCCAAGTGCAATTCGAGAGAAAGTCGTTCACCAACTCACTGCAATTTGTTTTCGTCTTAGGATATCTTTCCTGGCTTTCTGTTCGATTTCCCTTGCGAGAGAAGCGGGTAACACCGACGTTATCGAAAGCAGTTGCCCGAGACCCAGGGCTTGTGTGGCGTCATCCGTGGAGCACGGTTCTTGTCCGCTGTTGTTGTTGTCGGGGATAACAAAGACTGGTAGCGTCGGCACCCGCCTTTGTTCTGAGCTCTGCGCGACTGACTGTCCAATCAAATTCGCCATTAACACAAGAAAGTCGGAGTGTTTTCAGCGTACAATAACTCGTACATGAACGAATCCATTCTATCTGTAATACGATTTTTTGACGGTAAACTGTCAAAACTTTTCTCAATCCCATTTCGCCTTAAAATTTGTGAATAGCTTTTCTGAATGCAATGCATTCACTCCGAGCTAAAATACCTTTATTCGTCGAAAGATAATATTCTTACTGTCATTTATGATCAAGCATGATTGATTAATCAATCGATGACATGATATGTGCAACACGAATTTCTTTTGAAAACTCTTAATTGAGGTGCATTGATTGCAACCAACTGGTATAGACTAAATTATTTCATACACATAGAATAAATTAAGTCATTCATGCATCGAAAATAAAAATCAACAAACACCATATGATCAGCAAAAAAATCTTACTCTATACACAAAATAGGTCAGTGGATTTGGAACCGTTCCGGGTCAGAAAGAAAATTACTGGATAAACACAGTACGTAAACCTTTTAATAAGCTCGATCAATCTCAACTGACAGAATTATGTAAATTAAATAATCTACGGAACGGATACAACAACAATAACACGAATAAATACATTTCGCCCAAAGCCTCGAAATATTCATTCATCGAAAAAATAACTAGAGATAATTTTCATTCATTTCAGCACCACAATGAAAATTTGATCGAAATTTTCATGGCGATGGTTTGTTATAATAACATTGTCCACACAATCAGCAAATTTTCATTTGCATCCATCACTCTCTTAGTCTTTACTATTTTCATACAGAACGCTTATTACGACACTTGATTATTTAAGAAATGCGATCTCCTATTATCGATCACCTTTTAAACTCGTAGCTAGTCTCCAACATTTTAAAATTTCGTTAAACACCATTGCTTATATTGATTATTTCGTTTATAGACATGATTATTTCGTTAATCATCGCTGTAAAAAATTTTCCTTCCAATAAATAAGACCACGTAAAAAGCTACCAACATTCAGTTAAGATATTCACCTTCGTGAGTCTGGCGGAGAGCTGTGGCTGCGTCTTCCGCCCGCCGGTCATTTTGCGGACGGCGCCCACGCGGTACCACAGCCGAGAGTGCGACTGAGACTGAACCAACCTGGGCGAATTATTTGATGGTTCATGAAAGTGGTTGCCAAAAATTTTCAACAATTTACTTACAATAAGGATGTTTTCTTTTCAAACGAAAGCCGCCATAAGTGAAACTATGATATTCCTGACTATATACTTCTCCAACCTGCGGCATTTATTCAAGGATACATGAATTTCAGACAAGAATTTTAGCTCACTTCGCTTTCGATGTGAATACATCAAGTTAAAAGACATACTTTTTAATTATTAAAATTCTAGAAAATGATTTAAAGTTTTTTAACTTGAGTAAATTAAGATGGCCTAGAACACTAAAAAGCACAAGTTACAACATAAAAAAATAGAAAAATTAGTAGAAAGACAAGTTTCGAGTGATGGACGTAGAAGGCCATCGAATGATTTTAAAGGCTTCTAAATGTTATAAAAATTAGAATAGGAATGCAAAAATTGAAGGTGCCGACTTAGAGGCCGCGAGCGCTGCGATGTCCTCGTCGGTGAGGCCAGGATATTTTTTGACCTCCTTGATGAAGCGCACCAGACCGTCGTGGTCCAGGTGGCCGTTATGGAAGTACTCGTCTTCACTCAACTTGTCATCTGCAACCGTTAATCGAATTGCCACTTAATACCAAAATAAGTACATTATTTTGAAAGAGCAAACATGCAATTATTAACTTTTATGTGTACATCAATGTATTTCAATACATATATTGATATATAGTATATTCGTGTTAACCATATACGTGCCTTGACGGATTCACTTCCTCTATTCCAACGCAACCCCCAAAAATTACCAGCAACCTAATAATGGACGTAGCGCCTCTTTCGTCTATTCCTGTCTTTCCAATTTCTCCTTTACTTTCTGTGCCCCCTTGCTTCTGTCACAAGGTTCTTGTTGCCTAAATGGGATGCTAGTTGTAACCACACTATCGCTACTGCAACTTCATGTTTCATGAATAAAATGCGATGTTGAATCACAGTGATAAGCTTACAGACATACGTTACAACGTTGAAGAATGTCGGTTTTTACGACAGCCAGGAATAAGTTATTTAATTACTAACGTTTCATAAGTTACATACGTCTTCTTGGATTGACATCACACCTGGCTCTAAGTCTCTCAATTCCTGCTTGCTGGTCCCAATCTTAGAAGGCGCGCCACAGAAGTTCTTCTCTGCCAACCATGCCAAGAAAACAAGCAAAGGGAAGAAAGAAAGCGTCACAAACGCCTCCCAGACCTCAACGACGTTAGGCGAGATCACGACAATAATTATCAGCAGCCACATGTAAGCTACCAGCGAGAACACGCTCGTGACGACGAACACCTGCCCAGAATGTGTTATGCTAATGAAATTCTGGACATCTCAATATTGACCATAATATTAATTTTATATAGCATTCGTTATGATTGCAGTTCTTCATTGATTTTTTGGCAGCTAAATGCTGGAGGTGCCTCGTACATATAGAGCATGAAGAGATAAGGACGTAGATTTTCACATCACATGGCTTTATCATCAATTATTCGCCTACGTAAACAGGAATAAACGAGGGTGTAAAAAAATGACGATTCATTTATGAAATCATCCTGCGCTCTGCAGTAGCTTGATGCGAGGCTAAATTCTACACGCGACGAGCAAATGAAAATTATCGAGAAATGGGAATCTCAGGTCACCAAATTAAGGAATATGTGAAGCTCATAGAACAAATTTGAGTCAATTCAACATATTTTCAGATGCAGGCCTAAAATTTAGAGATTAATCGCGAAAAAAATCGCGCAAATCCTTCGCACCTTGAAATCCTTGATCCGTCGAGTCTCGCCCTTGGGTACACACATGACGCAGATTGCTGTTATTCCAAAGAGATTGTAGGCCGCTGAACCTACGATGTTAGAAGGACCGAGTTCTCCAGCAGTGAACTTGTTGCCTGGGCATAGTATATTGAATTAATGTATTAAATTAGATTATAATATTATATCAAGTTGATGGAGACAATGTTGACATTGTAGAAAGCAGCACTCGTCATCGATATAAACTTAATTTCAAATTTATATTAAATTATGTAAACATAATTACACTCAACAATGCATTGAACGGCCTTTACTATTGAAATAAACAATTTCAAATTTAATTGCTTTAAGTAGTTATAATTGCACTCACCAACAACTTCAATGCAGGATAGAAAAATTTCAGGCGCCGATGAGCCGAGGGCCATGAGCGTCAAGTTGGCGACCGTGTCGCTCCACACTCTGACCTCGACGATGGCTGGTTCTTCTGCACCCGGCTGCGCCATGTATACCTGAGGGAGATGCTTTCAGGTTACGGGTTCAAAACGTGTGCGTTCTAGTGAATGCTGGTACACCGGCAATAAATCCGCAAGGTCATGACATAGAAGCTGAGGATTTTTCCAGGCAAAGTAAGTGTTCACTGTAAATTCAAGCGCTAACCAACGCTATAGGTTGGTACTGATTTATGCATGTTGAGATTACAATCTCGGGTCATAGTAGATGTGTGTAGAGTTTAAACTCTCCTTTTTATAAGGGTAAGAAGTAGCGCACGACATGCTTTACACCGACGAAATATCCAATCAGCTTCTGAATGTATTGGAGCCTAGCTTTAGAGGATATGTGGTATCCACTCATCGGATGATGGACACTTTTATTTTTCTTTGAATTTTGGCCAAATCGAATTTCTTTGGTCAAATCGAATTTTCGCGTGATGGTCTAGTCATGGTTGAACTATATACTAGTTCAACCATGGGTCTAGTCTTCTCAGAAGCGGAAATGACCTCGACAGAAATCGTTTTCGTGCCGAGCCGAGAACTCCGGCAACGAAATTTAGGTCACTGCTTAACGCTAGCTGTTTGAAATTGAAACACTTAACTATGTTTTAATTAGTTTTGTGCATTATTAATAGGGATCATTGCAACCAATTAAGCGGGTTCAACTTCAGGCTATTGATTTTTACTACTATTGCTAATGAGTTACCTTCATTATATGTCTACCGTGTTCTTTACTCATTTAGAAATGGTGCTTCAACACATTAATTCTCTCTTCTTGACATTTTTGTCTCTCGATTTACATGATTTTGATCGATTATATTGTATAGAGCCCGTTTGTTTCCTTCTTCCCGTGACTTCATTGATGCCCCCCATTTAATCTAAACCTTCTAGGTGGGCCGTGGGGAGCATTGCATTAGTTAACACATATTTCATCCATTTTCCATTGATCATCGATTCTCTGCTTTTTTTCTTACCACATTTAAACCAATGAAAAAGAGTAAAAAAAATTATGCTGCTGCATTTATCCAAACAAAAGCCAGGGTATCTACCATTATTATTATTATTTTTCTAAATAGAAGAGAAGAAAATTGTTCGGGATAGACCCTTTAATTTTTCAGTCGTCCTCGCTATCCCAATAACATTTAGATGATATTTTCGATGCATGTACGTGAGACGGATGACGGTGAGAGTGCGATGAGACTTGTTATGATGCTGCATCTCTGTGAATGTTTAAACGTAATGCTGCTCGTGCTACCTGTTACGCCTCAGAACGCAGGTGTATGGGTACCCACACAGTGAAAGCAGGTTACCAGCGTGCTGGTTACCTTCTTAGGCTGGCGCCTGAAATTGAAATAAATAGGCCTGGCGCTGGCCAATTCGTACAGGTTTTCTCTGTGAGCACTTACATTATTATCCTATGTTCATTCTTGTGGCAGATTGGAGCAGGTTGCCCGCGCGGGCAAACCTGCTTTCACTGAGTACGTACCCTTATGCTTTTCTCCAATCGCCTCATCTATTAGTAATAAAATATTTAGCCGGCACTGGGCCGCCTGGGTTTCTCGTTATGCCGCTTGCGTTTTTCGTTAGAAAGCTTCACTTGGCTTAACGCATCCATCAATTTATGTTCCTAACAAATATTTTAAAACACAAGTACCTCAATTTACGAACTTGAACATCAGTCTATTGACTGTATCCGTCTGTATGAATACGGTTAGGTCATCAAATGATAATCACTCATAGCATGTATCCTTACTTACGCACATGACGCTATAATTACTAGGCAAACCTAAATGTGATCATCATATTTTGTAAAAAGCTAATTGACTGATGTTTTAGAAAATTATGTCGAAATTTTAAAAATATGATTTATAAAAAATATGTTCTTTAATACATTTATTATATATTATATATAATATAATAATATATAATATTATTATTAACAGTAAGTTGATTCAAGGCAACTCAGGCGACAGAATAAAAAATACTTGTCTTAATAATTTTTCCTATATTAACGATTGACTCCTTCAATTTTTCGTTTGTAAAATGCGATGGTTTTAGAGTTTCATCAACAGCACTTCATAAGTGTGGTGAATTTGATTCACAACCTGTGATTACTTCATTTCTCAGTTGCAGTTGAGGACAACGTTTCAGCAGGTGTCAATGATAGCTGGGTGAAACGATTAAATTAATTTTAACTTGACGACAGAATTATGTATGTAAGATTAACTATTTTTAATTATTTTGAGGAAGAAGTATTTAATGTTACGTAAATGTTAGTTTCAAATGACATAAGGGAAATTAAATTATAACAATTAATTTTTTTGGAATGAGGTTTCGTTTGTCCGATATTTTTGAAATTCCGTATAAATAAAAATATTTCCCGAATATAAATTTGCATGTTTTGCTGGTAAATAATTTCAAAATTGGTTCTTTCTTCACGTATATGGACACTATTCCTGCCCGGATGCGATCAAACCTGGTCTATGAGTTCAGTTGTGCGCGCTGCTCATCTGCGTACGTTGGAATGACGTCGCGTAACTTCTACATCCGGGTTTCTCAACACCGTGGCAGGAGCTATCGTTCTAATTTGCCTCTCGCCAAGCCTCCTTATTCTTCCGTGCGCCTATATGCTGAACAGTGCGACGTGGCTGTATCTGAGAGTGATTTCAGGATACTCGGTTCCACTTCTGGCTGCTCGGATTTGAGAATATTGGAGTCTCTACATATCTTCAAACGAAAACCGTTTCTCGATAATGCGTTTAGTTCATATAATCTGGAAATAGTGAATCGCTAGGCTTTTATATTCTTTTCGTGAACCCTAGGACTATGTTGTTCCAATCGAGTCCTGTTTTTTTTCGATTTAATGTTAGGTCTTGTTTAGGTTTTATGTCTGTCTTAGAGTTTTGATATATTAATATGATTTTATTCATTTTTAGTTTTTCGAACTGATGATGGAGCTTTACTCCGAAACGTTTTCAATATCAATATGGTGAATTTGCTTGGTGTTTTCTTTGTTTTTATATCCCTTGTGAACTTGCGATATAAGCAGACTGATAATATAAATGGTATATTTGTGGAAGAATTTCATCAACTCGTTCTCCAGTTTGTTCAATTTCATTATCGTCGCTACCGCTTGACCAAAACGAACCGAAATGTAACGGCTTCAGAGTGTTATTATCAATAGCGTTTCACAAGTGCGGTGGACTTGATTGCTGTCTGCTATGGAAGAGGGAAGGCAAAATGAACAGCTTTTGGAGCTTCATCAACAGTAGTTCATAAGTGCGGTGAACTTGATCGGCAGCCAGCAATTCGTTCATGATCAGATTTGGACATTGCTCCAGGTTTCATAAATTAATACTAGATAGTTTGCATGGAAAATTAACAAAATTATCGACTATGTTATTCATTTCTTACTCATTATTCGTCATAAATGATCATAAGGTGTCAAATTACTACGGCCCATCAGGCTCGAATTTGCATCGAAGATCTCATCAAATATTTAGACGACAGCTTGTTTAAAAAAAGCTCGTAAAATATTTTACTCACGATATAGGGTGGCGTTCATGACTAAGTCTTTCATGCATATATAAATGGGCAACTAGCCTCAGTCGAAAGTTATGGTTTTCCATCATTCGTAAAAGTATTTTTCGTTCAGAGACAACTCAAAAGATTTGTCCAAATTTGTATTTTTTTTAACAGAAAAACGTGCTTTTATAGTCGACAGTGCGAGTAAAGCTAAGAAATTTGGTCGTATATTCTGACAGTGGGATCGTGAGCCTAAAAAGGATTAATTGGAAAACAAGGATTTGTGATTTTGAATTGAAACTTTTTCCTCAGTTTCCCACACAGAAAACATATGCAAAGCAAAAAGGCCTAGAAATACAAAACAAAAACTTGATTTTACAAATATTTTTCTTGTACATTAATGTACGCACTTTCTTAGTTTTGCTTGTAATTTTCTCGATGGCTCCCATGAAAATATCGGCGATGATAGACACGCCCAGGAAGCAGTAGAGCAGCCCGATGAAGTAGAGCGTCGCCCGCACCTCTTCGGGCCACGTGTACTCAGAGATGAAGGGTAGCAGCAACCCTCTGTAAATGATCATTTGACCTCGAACTAAAAACTGGTGCAGAGTTTTATTTGACCTCGAATCATTTTGAAACAGGTACAGTTTCGTGTGTTCATCAAATGATTAATCGATTATTTTCGCCAGATTTTGGCATTAATTTGTAGCACAAAACCAAACCAAGAATATAATCAAGGAATTATTTGGATGGCGTCATACCAGTTCTGACATTGGAAGTGCGAAAATATATCATTGAAATGAAGCAGTTATGAGGAAATCTCACTTGTCGGAACACCGGTACGAGTAGAGAGCGCTCTCGTTGATGAAGCGACCTCCATTTATCTGCGTAAACTCTACAGCCATCCAGCAGTTATGAGCTCAATTTTGTTGTTGAACCAACAATTTGCTTGAATTTTTCAATCAACAGAATAAGAGATATTAAAATTAATGTAAACCAAATCTTACAGCAAGTGAACAATTATTATAAACTAAAAATGTTTAATTACAGTATTTTGAAGATGCAAAAACAACAAATCATGCTAAAACTGAAATACAACAGCGCTTGCTTTATTTTTCTTCCCTTTAAAATTGCAGCTGTAATTATGTATAATCCTTTAAGGCCTATGTAAATGTGTCAAAAACTCCTTATCAATGACTTGCTCCTATAGGAAAAATAACAGTTATCGCTAATCAGCCTCAGTCATTTAACGTATCTCCAAACCAGCACCCAGCAATTATAAGTCAGTTCAACTAAACTTGATAGATTCATAGCTATTCTGGGTAGCGAGTTGGAAATGAATAATATTTGTGTGTATCCTTTTCAAGTACGGTTGTTAATGCCGAACAGACTGCAGTGTGAGGAACGAACTGACGTACATTGCAAATTCGTACACCATAACTCATAAATTTATTTACATGACTAAACGTTCAACAAAAAAATTAGGGAGGAAGTTCAATGTAGATACTCATATACCGGTATTGCCCTTCAGCCTTCAGATGATAGTGCTGACAGTGTTCACAATTGAAAGGGCACACAATTTAGAGTACACTCAGAAAATAATGCACGAATTTAATTGTATATTCACTTAATGTCGACACAGTTGATGCACCGAGTTACGGTGCTTGCAGTTGATGACCGTTGATGGTACACGAAGTTCATGGCGCTCTGTATGCATCAACACAGTTGATGCATAGAGGCATACACAGAAGATGACTTATAAAGATAATGATGTACACAATTCGTGATGCACACAAGTGACGGTGAAGATGATGTTGCACACTATCGGGTTCACGACGCTTGTTGGGATAAGAACATACGTGCCAGCTATAGCACCTGCACTTGCGCGAAAGTAAGGCAGTGTTCTGTAAATAATTCAGTCAGATCAAGACGGCAAGGCCTCATTAATAATAAAAGTACTTGAAGTTATTAAGAAGTTATGTATCCTCAGGTAGTGTCTAACCCTACATATTCATACATACTCATAACCTGCATACAAAATCTAATAACAAACTAAAATCATACGCGTGAAACAACAGGTCAAAATGCAATGGCACCGCTACAGTCACGTCACGTACGCTGCACACAATTCGTACGTACTGGAAGGCACTGGCCGCCAAGGCCGCGGCGATGGAGTGGATGCATTTGGGTTGCTTGGCAGTGAACCCGAACGTCACAGAGTAACCTACCAATAAGGACGAGGCAGCTCTGCAACACCATCAGCACCTCGCACGTGCCGGATAGTCATATCGAGCCCATTAACATATTATTTAAGAAACGTCAAATGTGTTAAGTGAAATAAATTACCGCAGTACCTAACCATTCATCAACTTCGCAGTATAGACCGAGTCGCGGACATGTCGGTAGAACCGATACTTCAATCGATTTAGAGGCGTTCAACTGACCAGTTGGGCAATTTTTTAGTCACGGGTTTGATCAGTTAATAATTCAAGGTTTCTCCATTGTTAAGAAGTTTACGTATTACTCATTCAATTGGGCTATAACAGATTATATTCTCAGGTGATCCGCGCATAACTCATTCCTCAATTTACTGCTATGTAATATAGAACACTGATCTTTACGGATAACTCATCACGAATTCGGAATATAGAACTGATCACGAATTAATAGGCACACCATCTTCTGTCTGTTGATAAGATTTTATTATATTGACATAAAAGTAAGTTTACTGCATCGATTCCTCGATAATGAGATAGCAATTAATAGGTAACCATATTTAATATACTGCAAAGTATGCGTCTTATGGTTTTTAAGTATATGTACAGCATTATTAACAAGCTCTCATCCGTCAATATTGCAAGTTCATAGATTTTTTATATCAGTTTAAGATTTACTATTGGCGGCAAATCGACAATTAAATAAATTCACATAGATTACAAATAAAATTTCTTCAAAACAATAATTATCAGTATTTATAGTTAAAGGATATGATCATATCGAAAGAATTCACTCATCATTGAATTAAAGTAACGAGTATTTATCGTTTGCTACTAGGATCAACAATCAAACATTATTATTTCGATATACCGAAAATTTGAAATGTGAAACATCCTAGAACGGAAAGAAAATTTTGAAATTCTTCATTGAACAACTGATTCATTCTTTAAAATTATATGAAAAATGGTGTCTGTTTGACAGTACTCACATATGGTCAACTTTAATGGCCTGACTAAATGAAGTTTACGGAAAATCTCCATACCAGTCCCTGACATGGGGGGACTGACATGGGGGGGAAAATTTGAGTCCCTACATTTATGTATGTATTATTGACTATTTTAAAAGTTAGCAATATATTGTTCAAATAAAAATATTTTATAATTATTTCCTCATGAAATAGTTCAAATATACATCGCATGAACCGTTAAAAAAATCGGTTATGAATTGGCCTCCAGACTTTTAGACTCACATTCTCATCAATCGAGGAATCTTCGAACTTTTCAACTTCATAATCATACCCTGAAATTTTCAACTTCTTCGGGCTTGATTTCAACTATGCGCCGGAGAGACCATTGTTAAATGGGTACCGTAGTTGGTTATCGCTCACTTAAATGCTGTCAGGACACAACAGTGTGATATTCGCGTCACCCTTTTGTCAAAAGACACTTTGCTACGCACTGCACCTGCAAAATGCTGTGAATGCTCTGCAAAATGCTGTGAATGTTCTGCGATGTTAAGAATCGGCGACGGGCCTACGGCCTACTAAACGCTAAAACCGCTATAAAAACACTTCTTATAGCTACAGCTGACGCCCGCGCAAGCACGGTAACAGCTAACTGGTTCGCGTTACACTCTTCGGATTTCGATGTAGGCACAACAAATGTAATCCGACATCTGAATTTTCTTTTCATATTTTTTAAATAGGTAACTATTTGAAATAGTTTTCAATCCCTACTTGTTCTCATATTAATGATGACGAGTGAGTTTACGTTTAAATATACAGCTTACTAGAACAGTTTATTTCGAGTCCTGAAATTTTTTTTATTTTCGATGCCAAAGAATATACAGATTGTAATTTGTTATCTTATTATACGTCTAACGCCTATAATATGCTTATATGTTTTCATCGTGAGTTATTCTTTCGGTTTTATGTATGCTATATACTAAAACTTGAGTATACGGAAATAATTTTGTCTATGGGAAAAGATGTTTATATCGCCGTATTACGGTGTTACGTTATTTTTGAGCCCAGAAGATTTCTGAGTCTGGCAAAATCGAAGCAGTCGGCTGACTTATGGTGCCCACCTACAGCGTACCTTCCGCGGGAGGGACTAGAGACGACGTTCCCTTTACTTTCTGAAGACCTCCTCGAACGACACTGAGCCCTAGGTCAAGAAATTTTAGGTAATGAACATTTGTTTCTAGGCACTCCACTTCAGTGTCCGCTAGCACTTGAAATTTACTCCATCTAATCACAGTTGCTGTGAATTAATTAATGACTTCTTAGTAACCACTCATGAAGCGCAATATTGACGACTTTTAAATGCGATGAAGGTTCTTTCTGCATTGATTCCGTTTCAGTGAAATGTTTAGGATTGTCATAGGGAACTCTTACTTGTTATTTTCTGGTAGTATTTTTTCTTACTTGTTATTTTTTCTTTTTTTTTTTTTTTGTTTCAATACATTTCGTAATTACATGCTACCGAATTCTGATGTCTATGCTCGTATGTTTTTTAGTAGTCTGGCTTCGTTTTACTCAATAATTTTTAGCTCATGCAAGAGTTCAATAAAAAATTCAGCATGTTGAAATTTTTCGAAATTTTACCTTAAAAATGTATCAGCCTATTAGTTTATCATGTAACTAAAAAAATTGTTTGGTTGTGCCTAGGATCCATAAATATCAATTTCCTAACAGTACACAATGGGTGAGAAAAATTTATAATTTCTCAAAGATTTATTTATAAGTACTTATTACACGAGTTCTCAAGTTAACAGGCTTCTAAGGTTTCAAATATAACTGGTAAGTTGTTGAATTCAATAACTTATCAACGGTTCAAAAATTAATTTAACTGGCAAGTATTCCACGTACAACATGAGTTAAAAACTACATCTGAATCCTGCAGGACGACATATTAAGAATAAATAATCAAGTTTTTTAATTCAAAATCAACTTGGCAAATGATTATCAATAAAAGGATTTTCTATTATTGGGTCTGCATTTATACGGCGTTGTTCTAAATTAAGATGAAAAATGGAACCCTGCGATACATCAAATAAAAAATAAAAATAAATCAATTGTGTGGTGAGTGTTGAACATTTCTTTCGTAGAGGATCGTTAAAAAAATTCAGGCAGGTTTTTGTCGAAAAAAAAAACTTTCGAAGTTAAACTTTCAAAAAATTAGACATCAGTCCTTATAACTCATGTGAAAGCGTTAGTGTCTAATTGTATAGGTTTAAAGCTAGTTTACCTTAGAATATCAACACTTAATTACCATTACTCCATCAACATTTTGCTTGATAATTAAAGATCGTGATGAGATTTACACTTACCGTAAAATCTTCATTCTTCAAATTATTCAAAAGACTTTTCGGGTTTGAAAAAACATTCGATAAAAGCAAGACGCATGCTAACTAAATTCGATGTGGCGTTAATGGATGCATCCAAAAAAATCTCAGTGTAAATTTTTCTTCGAAGAAAAAAAATTTTTTCAAAAAGAATTGTGGGAACATTGATACTAAAATAATACACACATACAATAATTGATGTAACTTTGATCGCATATTCGAATAAGATATCGGTGTTATCTGGGAGTGAACAAATAAAACTAGAGGAAGTGAATATTTAAAGATAAATAGAAAAGTTAGACAACTAATATAGAGGCCACAATCGAACTATTGAATGACAGGGCTAACGAAAATTAGAAATTTGCTCTAGGCGATGCGGACTGTAAGAGGTAAATAAAATATGAAAAAAAAATCTAAGTAAGTTAATATCTTAGCACCGACATATAGTGATCATTAAGGGCCAATGGAATGTTGTTGAATAATCTTACTTCCTGATGAACAGCGGCAATATTCTGAATAACACAAGTAATTGGCAATAATTCATCATACAGCAATCAATTTCAAGTCTGCGAATTTGCATGTTGTAAAAATTCTCCTTAAGCGTACATCTGGAATTAGTTAAGAAGTAAACTTATTAATTTGATAGCTGGAATTGAAAATAAGATAAGAACAGTTCAAATATTGTGACACTTAAAGAAGATTGGACATATTATTATTCAAAATAATCACGACCCCAACAGTAAATAATAATTTTGATCATTTCACAGCATGCCAGGTATACGTAATTCATTCATTCACTACCATACATTTTTTCATTAGTAACTCCGGACAGTATTTCTCCTTACGATTCATCCACGCAGATCTCGTTAATAAATTTCATTTCAACAAGCAAAAAAATTTTAAGCGGTAATAAATTGTATTAAAAATATAACTCGCTGTCATAAGCTTGAAAGTTGCACCATTCATACAGATAACATTCATAACCCTTGATAATCTCAAGAAATGGGCAGCGCTTATTCTGCAATATGCCAGACCATCCATACACGGACGCTGAATTAGCTGCTACCTAGTCTAATATTTGGCATAGAAGATACAAAATCTCCAGAGGTGCTCGCTGCACGTACAATAATGTGTACATATTTTGAAAAGACCATCACAAATACAAGCATTTGTGTGAACGATATCGAAATACAGTCAGCATTTTTCAAAGACTGAATTTATGCGTAAATTGTTTCGAGCTTGCAAACTCCTAAGATCGATTCGACGATACTAAATGTCCAAATCCAAAAATGCAGAAATTTCTTACAGTGCACATTATACTTAGAACGAAACGTTGTTTTGAAACCAAGTAACAATGATATGAATATTTTACCGCTGATTAAATCATTCAGCTGTTATATTATCAATGTGCTCCTGAATAGTGAATCAAATGTCCCATGAGACTCGGTCGCCTCGCCATCCAGTTATTTCAACACACAAAGTTTACAGTTCGTCAACACAAGTTGGAACTCGACAAATCTAATCGTGTTATTTATTAACAAGATTAGGTGTTCTGTAAACGGGAAACTCATCGTATTATTAAACAACATAATAAGGTGCATCGCTATAGGGAATCTAATTATATTATTTATTAACAGGATTTGGTGCTCGGCATTGGGGAATTTGATCGTATTATTGAGGCAGTTTTATCAACAACTGTAAGTTAAAACCTACTCAATAAATTTTCGATTTAGAACAGGAAAAGGTTAACAAGTCTAAGGCTTTAAAACATAAGAGAACTTAAATTTGTGCTTTCGGGACTAAAAACATGTAATTCCCACAATAGACTAAATGATATTCACAACCAGACTCAAATGGAGCCTGAAAATAAAGTTCAGAGTCTAATCTCGTCGGAAAATTGTGATTTAATGTCAAAGTTAGAGTTCCATAAATTCTACAACATGAATGAGAGGAATAGTGAAGTCGTGTTAGTAACACGACTTCACTATTCCTCTCATTCATGTTGTATTCAGTGGAGGTTAGCTCTCATAACGGTGTTACTAAAGAAGGAGCTTGGGAAGACGGTGCTACGGTCTGTAGGGAATACATGTATCATAATACTGGAGTCGGAGTAGCAGCTTTGCAATGAACCTCTAAATGTCAATTTGCCAATAAATAATGATAAAAGAACAATAATGATTGCTATTTTTAAATTTCTGATAAAATTGCCCAGAACTGCTGAGATTCATAAGGAATGACTTGAAGAAGTTGGCCAATACAAGTTCCTTGGTGACCTCCTTTCTCCCCAGAATAGAAAGTGATATAAATTGATATAGCGTCTTTCCATGAATGATATATAGAATTCTGAAACCTATAAATAATATTCAGGCATTGATACAATAATATAATGGAAACCGATAAGAAAATTGTGTCAATTGCCAGCATCTTTAAGTAATAAGGTATTAGAAATTAAGTGCCAAATTAAAGTGAACAGATAAAAAAGTGTGATTAAAGAACTCCTGAAGAACGTTTTCAGGCCTTGATGGAAAACAAGCGAGCGTCATAAGGTATAGCAAATGAAAAATGTCAGTGGAACTATAAACTTAATTTCAGCGGACAATTTAGATTCGTAATATCGCTATGCAAACATATTCAGCCAAATATCTGGAAGTAGGTTAGAAAATATTTCTAACATACCGTATGTGGGGAACATTCAATGTAGACCAAACTAAAACTGCGGGTTACGGAACACTAATTAGTAAAAATTGAATAAATAATAATTTTGGCTGCGCACGTAAATGAATGCCTGAACATAGACCAGAGAGTCTATGACATGACAGTTGTATATGGAGCGAAAATTTCATGTAAAAGTGTCAATAGACATGAGGCTGGAAAACATCCTTAGGTTTAAGTGTCTGAAGTGTTCGTCGATTTCGAGACATAGAATTTTTTGTATCCGTAGGTCAGAGGTCTAGAAGTATTCGTGTGTCTAGAGGTCTAGACGTATCCATAGGTCTGGTGGTCTAGAAGTATCCGTAGGTCTGGTGTCCTAGAAGTAACCGTAGACCTCGAGGTCTAGAAGTATCCGTAGGTTTGGTGACATAGAAGTATCCGTAGGTCTGGTGGCCTAGAATTATCCGTAGGTCTAGAGGTCTAGAAGTATCCGTAGGTCTAGAGGCCTAGAATTATCCGTAGGTCTAGAGGTCTAGAAGTATCCGTAGGTCTAGTGGCCTAGAATTATCCGTAGGTCTAGAGGTCTAGAAGTATCCGTAGGTCTAGAGGCCCAGAAGTGTCCGTAGGTCTGGCGCCCTAGAAGTATCCGTAGGTCTGGCGCCCTAGAAGTATCCGTAGGTCTGGTGGCCTAGAAGTATCCGTAGGTCTGCAGAGACGCCAGCAGCACATAGATGAGCCAGAGAGAGATCATGAAGAGACCAGACAAGTACTTGGGCACGTTGGGACCTCCGAGCTCTGCCTTGCCGAAGTACGGCAGCATCCTGGGGAACGGAAGCTCATCAGTAAACTCATCCGACCAATAATATTGTGACTCTTTTTTCTCGAGCCAGAATAAATTAATTTATAGTTTGCTATAACTTCAAGCTAAATTATACGCGACAATAGTGAAGATTAATAATAGTTATATCGATAATGTATAATATTAATAATAATATAGGTAATTATTGTTATAGAGAGTGATATTTCATTTACCATCTCAGCATTTGAACCGTATAGAACAGGATTATCAAGTCGAGGGCACATTTTATCCTCAGGAGTTACTTTGGTTTTCTCAGGTGCAATATAACAAAGTTTTTTTAAGACCAGCATAGAAGTCCATAAGTAAAAGAACATTTTTTTGCGCTCATAGTTATACCAAGAATTCATCATTTAAGCCAGAGTTCTGTATGTGTACTTAACAGGAGCAAAACATTTTTTTATAAATATCGTGCCATACAGCAATTTAATCTAAAATAATCGAATTATTTCCAAAAACTACACAAAAAAGCGGTTCCAAACCTACACAAAAATTGGAGGTAAAAGAATAGATTTCAGTTTTGCCAATGGGAAGCAAAACCAGGCAGAAAACATATCAAATATTTAATTAATAAGAAAGATCGGTAATACAAGACTAAATTATAAATTTTATTACGGATATGCTGATCATTTGCGTCAATAGGGCCTGAAATTAAAAATTATGGATACCGTCCCTAGAGAATATGTTTGGCATCATGCCCCAGGGTTCCCACCTTCTCAGAACGATCAGGCCGAGACACACGACACTTAGGCCTGTGTAGAGGCCTACGCTGAAGCCAAGGTTGCCTGATGCAACATCGAAAGTCGTTTTCTGAAACACGAAGAAACTAATAATACACTGCAAAAGAAATGACACCTGAGCGCACATCAGGTGAGGCTCGAGGAAAATTCCTAGCAGTCTGAATAAAAAGATAATTTTAAGATCTACGGGCAATTTAATTAATATAATAATTTAAGAAATGTACGGGCAAATGGGCCAGTTGCTGATAAATTTATGACTGTTCTAAATCCACAAGTTTTACTTAGCCAAGGGTTGAAAATATTTATCTTATTATATGATTAAAATATATACTAAAAATTGGATGAATTAAGGTGAAGTATATTTATTTTCCGAACTTTCTTCATTTAAATTCCCATTCTTCATTTTAATCATATATCCGTCCGTTTTAATATCCTACTCTAACAAAATTCGGGAAAGGCCTAAGCTTCTGACCATGAGACGTAACAATCGGTTTAAAGTTATTCTGGATCGGCTTGCCCACCCGATCGAAATCAGCTTATGGTAAGAATCTTTTTAGCGCATTTTCTCATTTGTGGAAAAAATGCACTATTGTGCTCGCCATGTCCGTCTGTCTGTCTGTCCGTCCGTGACTTCAAGTTTTCGTCGACGAGAAAATGCGCTTTCTGTCACTCACTGCAGTGAGTACTGAGTTATATTTTTTAAAACTTCAAAGTGTCCCCAGTGCACGACAACAGTTAGCTGAACTTTGTTACACCGAGCTTGGAAGCTACACTCCAAGCCCGGCCGCAGTAGCCTAGGCGGCACCAGCTACAGAGTCGGGCCTGCATCCAAATTTTGCTAGGGTGTATAAAGGAGTTTCCCTATGTTCCCGATCAGACAAGTCAATCCTATTGCACCTAACAATTCTTACGTTCACTGAATGTTAAACAGACAAATCAGCCCTCTTGTACTGAGTATAAGAACGCTTCTCACATTGACTGAACGGTCAACAGACAACTCTCAATCCCCTTGCAGTGAATAAGCTAACGCTTCTCACATTGACTGAACGATCAACAGACAACTCTCAATCCCCTTGCAGTGAATGTGCTAACGCTTCTCACATTGACTGAATGGTAGACGGCAGCAATGAGCCACGGCAGGCCGAGACCAAGGAAGACGTTGACAGAGTTGCTGCCGGTGACGTTGCCGATGGCGTTGTCCGCGTGCTTCTCCTGCACGGCCGCCGTCTTTGATGCGAACGTGTCGGGCAGAGACGTGCCCAAAGCCACAAACGTAATAGCTATGGAGGAAGTAAATTATTATACTTCAACGTTTAAAGATCCATAAATGAAATCTGGGATTGAGTTTATGAGGACTATACATGTCCCAACGATATTTCCTTCTCGCGGCTGAGATGTTCCAGATGACCAAGAACGGACAAGAACGGCAACAGATCCAAAAACCACAATTCATAGCACACACCTTTGTATGATATTTGAGGTACACAAGTACAAAATATTGATACCGACGAGGCACACAAGCATTAAACTTCAGTCTACGGTAAAGTAGTTCAAAGCTTACGCTTTTCGCTGTGACATGGACAGCATTGACGCGTTTGTCAGGTATCCCGAAGCACTTACTCGACACCTTGGGTTTTGTAACGATACGAAATCACTCTAACTCACTCCTACACCCGTGTTCTGCGTGAGTGCGAACTCTGTCTAACTCATTCCAGTACTCTTATGTTGTGCACCGTTATGACCTTAAACTTATTCTAGCACATAATGCTCTGCGTCGGTACCGTCGTTAATGATGACCGTATCAAAAGCATGTCAACAAGACCTGTCAATAGATAGAAGGTCAAGTTGTGCTAAATTCATGTTTGGGCTTACTTCGTTCCAAATGAAGATCTTCAGCAAGGATTGGCTAAACTACGATGTGTGTTAGAGGGTAGATTTCTCTCAATCCTTTCAGGATTGGTTAGGAGGCAAGGTTATGGTAAGGAGCTTAAACACGGATAGGAATCCAAGAAAAGTTGTAGATCGATTACAGTGCAAACACACAAAAAGCTGCAGTGCACTTTAAGCACGGAGCAGCTCTATCTGCGAAAAGCCCAAAAAATATTGACGTGAATGAGTACATTTTGAAAACAGAAACAAAAAGTTAATTTCAAATTTCAATCAAAAGATTATCTTGAAGCTCATGACTAACCGATGATAAGCTAAATTACCTATTTTATGTGACAACATATTTCAAAATAGCCCTCGGAATAGTTTACCAGTAACGGCATCTTGGAGTCCCACAAGACAACCAAATATGGCGGCCAAGTCGCCGATGATGGCCGTCAGGACGCCGATGGCGCCAAGCGCAACAAAGAAGCACAACCAACCGCCAAGGAAGCCGGGCGGAGGTACGAGCGCGAAAATGATCTGCAACACATCGGTTGTTTAGTGCCTAACTGCTCTTTTCAAATTGCGAAGAATGTATGAATAATAATTATTGATGGATAAAACGTGGAGCACAGGCATGCCTTTAAGCGTTAGCGTCGGCGAATGATAGTGGCGAATGTTGGACGTCTGCAAACACATATTTTCTTCAATTCCTGTTCAATTTGTGCCTTAATAAATCTTTAGAATAACTAATAATAACATGATTTTATGCCTTTATAATTGGGATACACATATTTTAATACATGCTCTTAAAAATAATTGTCAACTATTTTGAATTATGTGAAGAGTTTAAATGATCGCTCACACATTTCTGTATAGTAGCTTGATGAGGCTAAATATTTTCCGGCACCAGTATCAATGCATCTTGGTATAACTTTGGGAGATATTTTACTTTCGAAACTGCATTTGTTCACCTTCCAGCCGAATGTGAAGAAATGCAGAACATAGTCCAAGGCCGTGGCGTTCTCGATGTCTCCACCGTTAACGTTAAGCGCGTCTTTGATCTGACTCTTGTAGGTCTCGTGATGGACTTGTAACTGGTGCATGTTGGCGTTAGTGAGGTTCATCATCTTCGAGAGGAGGGTGTCGAAATCTGCGCGCATCGCAAACATTGGAAAATGTTAAATAAGATTCGACTTATCAACGGGAGGAAGTTAATGCATGTGGGCATTTCCAAGGATAATGTTTGAACATGTTTCCCATTACGATATAACGAAATAATGGAACTTTGGTTTGTCTAATGGCGTGAATACTAGAATATGCATTAAAAACGGAAATAGATTTTGGAACGTTTCTTATATAGCCGGAATTGTATTACGAACAACATGAAGAATCTTTTTCTTTTATCCTCGCGCTCCTAATTTTTTTCGCCGCAATAGTCCGAGTGGCGTACCCACGAAGATAGACCAGCAAGGCATCTGACATTTGCCTGGCTGGTCTATCTATCTGACTGGTGCGAAATAACGTGGAGTGAAAATTGTTTTAACGAAATTACCTCGTAATCAACACTATTTCAACGTCATATGACTGGAGGGTAGGTCATACCGTCATCGTTGGTGATGGTCACGGCCGTTCGGTTGATGGGTCCCAAAGTAGCTCCGCCCTCAGGGTCGAAAAGCTCAATTTCGAAATGCTCGTCCTTCTCTGCGCTCATGTCGTCTATGATGGGTATCTCGATGTTCAACTCAACCTGAGGGATGAAATTCAAACTGTAAATTGAATGATAAAATTATTCCGTCGATGGTCAACTACTCGCATATGGACGCACAGCAAAACTATCCCACACATTATCCGTGGTGACGGATGATCAATGTAACTATCCACCAATAATGAAAATAATCGTCTGCTATAAGTGTGAAAATGAAATTTAAGAAGAGTTTTAACCTAGTAAAACAAATTTATATTCATGAAGATCCCCAAATACAAAAATTCGCCATGAGTTTACCGACCTCGGTGTGTTTGAAGGTGAGCACTCCCTCGCCTCCTACAAAATCCTTCTTGTTGATGGCGGTGCGGTCGATGGTGCGCCATTTGACAGAAACTTCTCCGTCAGCGCCGTTCTTGCGCACCACGGGGACGTAGGCCGTGCCGATGCTTTCCTTGACCAGGACACCGCGCCGCTGGAACTGCAGAACTCCGGGCTCTGGAAAACACGTAGGAGTTCCAGGGTATTCGATTGCTTGAAGGAAGCATCGTTGCTTTTGGCCAATGATAGATGTCGTCTAGGGCGGCTTCTGCCAATTTAGGAGATTAGTTTCAGAGAGATTATTTTCGGCAGTTAACAGAGCGTACTTACGAACAGGGAATAAATTGTGAATGGGGAAGACATTTTTAATGGAGTCATCGTTGGAGGGACTAAGGGTGTTGAAATAAAGCCCTGCCATTCAAATTTACAGAATGGATATTCAGCAATTTTTAGAATTAAGTCGACGTTGGTGCTCGAAACCGAAGTTGTTTCTGAATGTTTTCTTGATGGGTGACAGGTTAGAGAAACCTTTAAATTTTGATAATTGTTAAGTGAGCTTCTGAAATGAATAGGAAGAGAAAAATTATGTTGGAAACGTCGGAGGACGAGTAAACAAAAAAATTTTTCTGCGTTTTCGATACATGGTATCCTTTTTGCTCTAGTAAAATGTATGCTACGTAAAGATGAATGTAAACCTCACCATCGTCATTGAGTATAACAATTTCCATGATGCTGATCCTGCCGAGCTGGACGCCTTCCCTGTCTTCGCGTTCGTGTAGGAGGGACAGGCGGAGGTAGAACTCCTCGTCAGGCTCCCATTGGCTATCGTTGACGATTTCCACCTCCACCTAGTGCGGAACAATCAAATCAAATTTGTTATTAATGATGTAATGTAGCGGTACAAATTAGGCAATAGTGGCCTATTCAGCCTACAGGACACCAGGCCAATTTACCAACTTCGACCAGAATTTCACAATTTGTTTAGAGTTTCGAATCTCCACCCCACTGCTTGATCGATGATCTTAACAACTGGGCTATGCCTAGATAATACCACTCTATTTCTTAGCATGAACCTAATCGAGACCAAACACGATGCCTTGTAAACGGAGGTTTCATCCGACCTATTGTTTGTTGTTCGTACAAGTTGCGGTAACCAAATTGTTTTAGTTACCCCAAAACTGCAAGATTTCCTGAAAAACCATCCGAGTTATTCTTAGTATTAGAGGAAAATTACGACGGATTGATGCACTGGGGCAAATTCGCTGCTGTCATTCTATGAGATAGTAAGAGTTTAAAATAAACAGTAGATTAATCATTTTACCATCTATTTTAAGTTATTTTAGCTGCTTCACAAATGAAGTGACATTTCATAATTTTATTATATAATATCTCATCAGAATAAAGACAGTGGTCTAGGCTTGAAATAAAGCTTTTAGATTCAGATGTTACAGTATATTTTCCTTAAAATTCTAAAACTATTTTCCTGAACTTTATTCATTAATATATTATTTATTATGATAAAATAATATTCCACTAAAATAAATCTCCTGTTAGGTTGGGCCGTTTGGTGTATGTATAAATAAGTAGAAATGAATATAGTAAAACTAACCTTGAAATTCGCGCAATGCTTGCAAGTATAACGTGATTGTTCTAGAAAAAATTGATGCTGTGTAAAGCGATCAGATTCCACAGAAAACATTTAGCGAGGCTAAAAATTTGTTTACATAGTAATTTCGATTAATTTGATTATTAGTAGATCATAGATACTTTAAAAGAAATTTTAGATTATCATGAAAATAAAGAGATTGAGCTTTATTCGAAGAGTATGCTTACATATCGAAAATTAATGCGGACAAGTTGCATAAAATTCCGTAGCAGTTCGATTTTTCCTTGCAAGTGGATGTTGCTGTAAAGCTCCTGCTAAACCAAGTAAAACAGTAACTGATTTTGGAGATGAACCGAAGTACTGTGTTAAATTTGGCCATAATATTATTTTCATCCTAGGAAACACCATGATTGCGCTCCATAGAATATGGTTTATCCATCTTAAAATTATTCAATTGATGATGAAAAACAAGTATTATCAACAGGCTGGATCTTCAACTAGTTCATACATAATAGTACTAACCATTTTCGAGACTTCCTCAGGCTCGAATGTGATGATTTGGTTGATAGCGACGTAGTCTTCCCCTTCGGTGGCCGTGCCTTCCAGCGTCTCAACGCTAGAGTGAACAATTGTACAATTGTTTTAGCCATTGAATACGCTAACGAGAAATAAATATTCTTAATTAATGTATCTATTTTTTTATTAATTGAATGCGTAACGAGAAATAAATATTCTTAGTTAAAATATTTAATTTTGGCAATAAATATGACGCACAATGAACATTTTTTTTCATTATTTCTGCTTTCCGTAGAATAAATAAAATATGATGCTGGATAAATCGCAAATAAAATACATTAACACTGGGAGGACTTTGATGTTGAGACGTAAATTGTTAACTATATACGTACACTATAGCAAAATATAAAGTGTGAGCTCCAAGGAAAATACCGAACTAACATATATAGGCAAACATGGTTAATTGATGACGTAACAAGAGCAACATACTTTACGATACACTGTAGCTGCCGGGAAGTAAATATTTTTCAGATCGTTCAGAGATAAAGACTGGGAATCATATAGGAAACTTACATCAATATTTAAAAAATTAAGCAGAGGTTTATCCTTAAAAAATAGAAGGTATAATAAAAGATAAAATACACAAAATATGAATGAATGGAAAAATTATTGTCTTTATTTTCACAACTTCAAACCACACAAGATGTATGAAATTTTCCAATCATTTCTCTTGCGGTCGACTTGAGTTTATTATTAATTATTTCATTGCATCACTTCTCACCGCACTCGGGCGATGTTATCAACCCGTCCCGTGCGGTTGATCTCGACTTGAAACTTTCCGATGTCTTCCATGACAGCGCAAGACGCAGCGTGGAAGTCAACAACGGCATTCACGTGAGGCTTCACCTGGAGAAGATAACAAATTAATTGTAGATAACTAAAACAGGAAGTTGAATAATTAAGAAGAGGTTGAGTATGAAGAAGATGATGAACATAATGCAGGTGCTGTGAATAACAAGGCACAGGCAATTTAGTAAATGCCTTGTCAGTCCAGTCAATTGTTCAGTATAATGCTATATAAGCAAAAAATTGTGCGCTATATTAATGCTTACACAAGATTTCAACTGATGAAATTGAGTTGAAAACCAGGTTAGCAGTAAAATAAAAGCACTGTATCGTATGATTAATAATAAATACACCAATTTTTGTCAAGTTGAGCGGATTTCAGACTTACTGTTGGAACGCTGCCCAAAGTTGGTGCATCAGGGTGCTCGTTCATGGCGTTGTATACCTGACGATGAAAATTTGTTGAATTCACAGCATCAAAATGTAAAGTCTTCAACATAATTCAACAAAATTTCAGAGTCGCCTAAGCTTCTGTTAATCGGACGCTGGGGCGGCTCTAAATTTTGTTTAGAACGACCCTGGCTTGTTCAATGTTTAAAGAAAGGCTTATATCAAGTTGATTCTTTGTGCAAATCAAAACTAAATTAAGCTATTAAGTCATAATTTATCAGGAACAATCAGTTTATGCAGAAGTTTCCATGATAGATTAATAACAATTACATTTCTTAGCAAAATTAAATGCCAATGCATATGTAACTTCGTGTGGATTATCTGTGATTTGTTAAACAACTGCACTTTTTAACAACTGATACGTTAGTAATGAAAGAAATAGAATACGAGTGCATTATAAGTAAATTTTAAGCCTGATAACTTGACAAACCTGAATACAGTGAACAACAGCGTGCTTAATAATATCATCGAGGCAAAAATCAAACAAATAAACAAGTACATCAAACCTGAAACACCAAAAAAAATCACGTGACATTTCACTCAAAAATTCAATATTTTAACAGCATAAAAATATACGCAAGCATCACAAAAAAACGTAGCAGGCCAGTATACACTCAACTAAATGTTTGTACACACGAAGTTCAACAGGAAATATAGGAGTAGTTGATAAAATTCAATCAGTTCATTGCAGTGAGGCTGAAACTGTTATACCAAACGCATAAGCGAGTTAACTTTTTGAAAGCAGTAAGTACGAAATCTTCTTCTTGGAACCTTATATATGAATCTACACCCACTTTCCGTAATTTTTTATTCGCCGTACGTGAAATCGCCCCAACCGCCCAAAAATACCCTTTCGATAAAATGGTTAATACGATTTATTATTTATTGCAAACGATATTTAGATATATTTTTTCCGCAATATGGAACAAATAAAACACTGGATTTGGAATGGAATAAATGATTTGGAAATGATATAAATGAATTATTAATAATCACGTAAATGGCCTTTCATACTTTTGACAGGTCAGTTTACAGCGTCGTACACAAATTGTGTGAAGTATTAGTGTAATTGAAGTATCCAATCGATTTTTGTCAAGCGTCAAAACGGTGCGAAGTATAGCAAAGAAGAAAAAACTAAGGCATTTCTTTTTGTACGATATGATGAGTTTGGCACTCGAAACATTTTTGAAGGAACATCTAAACCTAATATCACGTGATTAAACATTATTAAAAACACGCCAGTTATAAATACTTCAGTGTATTTTGGAAAGAACTTCAAGCAGCACACAAAATTCAAAACGTGCAACTTAAGATAATATTTTTTACAAACTTGACTTTTTCTCTGACTAAATTCGGAACTTTTATCAGCTAATTATAGTCAAAAAATTTTTCGAATAAATGAAACTCTAAACTACGTGTGCAATTCCCATGTCATTTAGTTAGTTAATGGAAAATTAACAAGGTTCACACTGAAATTACCATCGTTTCAGCATGGCAAGCGATAACTTGCAGCACATGGCTCAGGAGCGAATATAGCGATTCTTAAGTCACTATAACGACTGCGTAATCAATAAAGTCAAAGCCAATAAAGCCTAAGCCCAAAGCGTAACACACGATGGAAGCGAATACGAAAAATGACGAACAATGTCCAAGATTAGAGGAGGTTAAGACACCTCGAAGAAGGCCGGCGATATAGGTAGATAAAAAACATTGTTTTAAACACACGTAAGCGCCATGGTTCTTGTATAGGTTTGTACAGTAAACGACAATGTGCAGAACGTCCGAGACATGTTTTTATTCATAAACGTGAGAAGCCGAAGCAGAATCTGGCTCACTCGTGATTTTGTCGAAAAATTCATATCCTTTGATGAATTTGGAAAATAATGAAATGTGTCGTAAAAAAAGTCACTTCTAATTCCATAAAATCAGGCATAACGGCCGCTATAGCAATATTCAGGTTGAAAAATTAATAAATTCCAAACTATTTTGAATTAGTCTAAAATTCATTCAATATCGTAATTGTTTTGATAAAAAAAATCACCTCATTTACGCGCTGGTCAAACATCTCTCCTAGAAGCCACTGGTAAAGAGCGGAATTTAAAATAATTAATACAGGAATCGAGACAGAAGCTACAAGATCAACTGATATTGTTGTATCAAATTGTCAAATGTTATATACAGTAACGATGAAGCGAGAAATGGGTTAAACAGATGATTAATAATGGAGGAAGTAAGGAAGGAATAGAGTAATTGTGAAGGAACGAATCTTTATAGAAGAATATGAAGAATGTTTCCTCCGAGAAGTATTTTCCGAGCCAGGAGCACGATAATTGAGGACAATAGAACGCAGGTACGGTACTAGATTTACAATATATATATCCGAACGAGCAAACGAAAATAAAGCAATGTCTCTACTATGAATAGAGAGCCTTCAATTAATTTATAAAAACACACCAAAATCCGCCAAAGAGACCCATCTCAATAAATTTCCATAAAAAACATCAAAAATCACGAACGTCAAGTCGCAGGAGAGTATTAATCAAGTACTGGAAGTATTAATCAACAAGTAATCCCTTAAGCATGTACAAAGGCAAGGCTCAATCACAAGCAAACAAGCCTCCAGGAAAAAGTCCAATTTTTCGCTGTACTCACACTCTCCAGTTTGTCCGCTATGTTCTGAAAAGTAAAATAAATGACAAAGTCTGTCAAATAAAAATCAAGGAGCAGTGATCGTCGATCCGTGAAATACATGCTGAAGTAATGAACAATTTATCAAGTAAAGATGACTTAAGTATTAATAGGGCCTTTGAAGGAACGATGCAAGAGGGGCCATACCTTCAAAATTCGCTAAGTGTTAAGGTACGTATTAATTACGCTCTATTTTCTTGTCTATGATTCGTCGATTTTGCTTGAAATGCCCTCAATGACTGGCTGTTGAACTTACGATCTCTTAACTTTTTTGAAAGTATGGGCCCTGAGGTGTATAAAATTTGCGTATCATGACAAGGTGATGGAATTAGTCGTTAACGAATTAAGCTTGCAATCTTAATCCGGAATTAGATGACCAAGAAGAATATATTTTATGTGCGATGGTTGATGTTTGAATGATTCAAATTCGATACAAAAAGTTTTATTGTTCATACACTTAATTGCCAGCATTTGATTAGGAAAATCAACTAAAACGAAATTAGGCCAAGCACGTGCATGGTGATTCTCTAGGAAAAATAAACATGCACGCGCATTTACAGCGAAGTTGCTTACGATTGTTTAAACTACAAATTACTTGGAGCACATTTATTTTCCCCTATACTATCTCTTGTCCCCGAAATAATTAAACTAATAATGTAAAATTAATAGAATACCTGAGTGAACCGTTATTATTACGGGATACCGTCCCTAATGCGTTTTTCAAAACAATTTTTTATAAACGGAAAAACATCGATCATTCCGAAAATGTTGTCATTTGAAACAGGCGGTTGGATGACAGGTGTTAACTATACTTAACTAATGGTTATTTTCTGCATTATGGCATTTACATTCGCTGAAAAATATTCTAATTCGTGGCTTCAGTGTACTTGGCCATTAGGTAACTCAAAATGGAATTTCAGCGTGGAATTTACTTGGCTTATTTGATAGTCCAAGAATGCGCATTTAATTTTGTTACTGTCCTATTAGAAAAAATTGCTTACAAATTTAATAACATGAGAAAATTAAACTTGAGCAAATGAACGTGTTCAATGCCAGAGTGTACCTTGATTTTGTAATTATTGTTACCTCATTTGCAACATAATATAAATTTACAGTTAAATAAAATGAAACACGAAAATAAATCATTTTCAACCGGAAAGTTAAAGACATATAACAGACGATACACTATAAATAGAAACTATAAAAAATGACTCTAAGCTAATTTACGCGGCCTAAACGCGCTATATTGATCTGTACGTCTCTAAAGGCGCAACGGAGTGCGAGGTATTTCAGTATTGCGATTAATAATGGAATAGCGGAAACCTTCTTATCCACAACGCAATAAGTAATAAATTCGGTTCCAGACAATTATCAGGGCTTCCGGACAATCAAAAATATTAATTAAATATCATTATTGCAGAAAAATAAAAAAATTCAAAATGGAGTGATTAAAGTAAATTTCGTTGGAAAACAAGTCATTGAAGTCAAGATTTCTTATCGCAGTTACGCCAATAATAATCATATTAATCGTATAGTAATCGGAGAAAAGAAGTTAAAAAAATGACCTATGAATCAGAAAACGAAAAACGTAAATAATTGCAGACACGATAAAATAAAATGACCAGGGAGCGTTGCTACTGGATTATCGGTCTACATTGAATAATAATCCAGATTGTTAGAGAACGTGATTAAGAAAACTATTCAGCGATCCTGACAAAATTATGACAAGAATTACCACAAGTGAAACAGTGAAACACAACAACAGTTTCATAGTTGCAACAGCAAAAACAGCCGGGAAACAGCATCGGCAGAGAAGTTACGGATAAGTCAACACAATGTCAACAATAATAATAATGTAGTTAATTAATTATTTGTTAATAATAAATAATGTCTTCGTAATGTCACCACAATGAGCGTAATTTACAATGCACAAATTTAATGATTTGCCTCAAAAATTTTGCTTGTTTAAAACATAAATAAAGAAGAGCGCATTGGATGGATTGTACCTCTCAATCTACCCAGAAATCCGTTGCAGTTTAAATATAGGATTTAAGTGAAAGAACGAACTTCAATATATTTAAGAGGCTATTCTCAAGTTGCACTGTATGCAAGCCATTCATTTCGTGTTTACCTTATGCCATTTTTAGCGCATTGTCTCATTTATGGAAAAAATACACTATTGTGCTCGCCATGTCCGTCCGTGACTTCGTTTTCGTCGACGAGAAAATGCGCCCTCTTTCACTCACTGCAGTGAGTACTGAGTTATATTTTTTAAGAATTGTAGTGTACACGACTTATTTCTTGTAATCTACGTTGAAAAAAAGTGTATGCAACTAAAGACTGCACAATTATGACAAAATTATTCATATTTTGATGGTGAATTTATTCGATTTCTGAAGGTAAGCTTGTTAATTGATTAGCAATACGTATTTGACACACCTACGAATACGTGCGTTTCAAAGGCGTTTCTGAACGTGACACTGGTGATACCAACCCGATAGAGAACGCACTTTACGCGCCGAAAAAATAAGCACTATATACGACTTAAACACGCGAGTGATTACGTAAAAAAAAATTTGAGATTTCAGTTTTACCAAATGACTGCTCACAAACAACGAAGAGAAGTTATCATTGACAAGAAAACACTATTCGATAGCACCTAACAATCGAATTGTAACAAATTTTCCCTTCGCAGGACAGAGTATTAATCATAGAATGCAATTCTAAAGAAAGTGTTCCGTATGAAGTACAATATGAATTTTTGATGGAAAAATTGCTATTATAGAAAAAAATGAGAAAATCCATTTAACATTTGGCAACATTTTAAGCCTTCTGATTTACTAATAATCAACGAAAAAATATCGCTCACTTTAAAGAAATAGACGTGAGGAAAAAAGGCTAAAAGAATTTTTACGGACAAAGATATTACAGAAAACATTAAATCCATCGAGACACAACAATAAAAGACAACAATAAATCTGAACTATGTTCATTCAGACTTAAGGAAGGGGAATAAATTGAACTTCTTCAGCTAATGAGGAAAGCCAAGTTTAGGATTTATCGGGGAAGGATCATTAAGCAATGTTGGCCAAAAAACAACAGAAATACGATGCAACTATCGAATGCTTAGCGGGCACAAGTAACAAAATCGAAGCTAATAAAGAGAATGCAGATTCACAAACGTAAACACATCACAAGGGCATAAAACCTAGTACCTGTTGGGTGCCTTCTTCCATTGATACTACATCCTTCTTAGACCTGTTGGGCTTGGATACAAAACGCAATTAAGAATAACTTCACACAATTATTTTATTAATTACAATGTTTATTTCTTCGACTGCATTAAAACAGTTTTTCCGCCTTCCATTCTCAGAGTCCAACAATATGCCTACATGAGAACTCGCCTGATCTGTTCGAGCAGTGTTCGATAAAAATGCGTTTGTCTGTAATATTCTTGGGGTAATTTTGTAGTATTCTTGGGGTAATTTCATGATATTCTTGGGTAAGTTTTCCCCAACGCTGTTCGGAAATCGTCAAGATCAATCACGGAATAGTTGTTCAACGCAAATCTCTAGGAGCGAAACAGTGTGGCCGATGAAACTGTCTATTAACTAACAAACGGGACTGCGCAAATTCACAACGAACCAAGACACAGATCAGCAGTGGTTCATCGAAAGACTTATTCAGAACATATTCCCGGGAAATTTTCGGATAATTCTTCATGATGGCAATTTCTTCTTAAAAACGATTCTTCTTGACATGCTCGAGGCAATAGATGAGTCCGTGACGATTTGAGACGTAGAAGAAAGAGTGCGGAGTTCATGCTATACGTTGTGAACGAAATATAACTAAATAATATGGTGATGATGGGAAAACATCGAGATCTTAATATTCAAGTGGATTGAGTTACTAACAGCCACAAACCTCCTAGAATATTTTTTTAAAAATGTGTAAGTGAATTGTAGGTTTCTGCATTCATCCATCGTAATGATCGAACAGCTGCATGCAAGTTCATTGAATGACAATGAAACAAAATTATATGTCAGTTTGACTGCTTGATGGGTAATAATCTTTAAAATAGTATAATATTGGGTAATGCAAATCCCTGAGATAGACTAATGTTATTTCTCATTCACTAGTAATCAAGCTTGAAGTAAACCTTGTAATGTAAAAATTTGAAAACATTACGTTCATTTTATCAATCATTATAATTACCACACCCATGGTATAGCTTTTCTACTTCTGTTTCACTAACACGAATGCATAGTCGGGGCACGACTACGATGAGGCCCGACATATTCTTGCAAGTTTTCTGTTGATTTTTATAAAGTAAAGTTTACTTTTGTTATAGTACGATATCGATCAATCATGGCGAACCAAATTCTCAAATGACTAAACTGACAAACAATTTTGGTGAATAATTTCAAAAGAATGTGTAAGGGAATGCATTCAAAAGAGCCTTCCTCCAACTCACTGCTATTTGTTTTCGTCTAAGGATATCTTTCTTGGCTTTCTGTTCGATTTCTCTTGCTAGAGAGGCGGGTAACACCGACATCATCGAAAGCAGTTGCCGGAGACCCAGGGCTTGCATGGCGTCGTATGCGGAACTCAGTTCTTGTCCGCTGTTGTTGTTGTCGGGGATACCTAAGACTTGGATCATCCGCACCCGCCTTTGTTCTGAGTGTTGCACTACTCTCTGACCGATCACAACAGCTTTTCTTCATGAAGTGGTAACGATCAATTGTTTTTTAATTAGAACAAACTTAATGTCAGCAAGTTTTTCTTGCTGTTATCCGCTACTATTCCGAAATATATCATTGTTATTCATTAGCCCGATCGCAAACGGTTAAGCAAATTTTAGGAAATCACCACCAACAAGGTAAAAAAACTGACTAGATATCACGTTATTCGTCACTCACTGCAAACTTTGGATGAAACACGGCTATATGGTTCAGAAAATACAGCCAATCGAGGCAATAGTCTGTTGCAGTTAAATTTCAGTTTCTTCAAGTGAAGATCACGCAATGGTCACACAGCATTACCTTCTGAAAGTCCGTAATCATATTCGATGCATGACGACACGTAGACTAAATTTAAAACAAATAGCTATAAAAAACGGCAGAAAAATAATGAAGTCTATGAATAACTAAAAAAATATTTTAAATGTAAAGAACTGAATGGAATGAACAATGGATAAATTGATTTCCGGTAGGAATAAAAGGCAAAGAAAAATAGAACCATACTCAAGTGAACTGTACGCTAAACTACAATCATATACCAGTTACAGAATAATAGATTTTAAGAACCAACCAAGTAACAGTGATAAATGCAAGACTTTAGAACCATGTTGACACGAGTCGCACGAAATGTTCTGATGTAGTAAAGGCGGAAGAGAGTTGGAAATGATAGAGGAAATCAAGTTATTATGTTTCCTCTAAAGCACATACAGTTGTTTAGACTCAGTATACCGAGACGTGTATATAGTCTTTTAACAACGTAGGTATCATTCAAATGGAATATTCAGTGTCGAACCTTTGACCAATATTGATCACGTTATCCATCCCTAATATTTTCTGATCAGGTTCGTCAACTTAAGTCAACCATGAACGTCTCCAACCTTTGTTTATTAATTATAGGTTCATAAAACAATAATTTTATGATCCTCTTCGTTTTTCTAAGTCAGATTCGATTAGCATTTGTCGCTAACTGGCATTTTGTTGTCACGTACGTTTCTCAGTCAGTTTCAGCTCAAATGTGCCAATCAACACGTATTTTCCGATAAAGTTCGATCCCCAAATCGGTTTCAAATGAAATCTGTTACAATCTGGCATCTGTTCGATCCCCAAGTCGGTTTCGAATGAAATCTGCAGCATTTTTCACCGAAATCATATAGGTACAGGGAATATTTTGCATGCAATCACTTAAGATACTCACCTCCTTGAGCTTCATGGAGAGCTGTGGCTGCGTCTTCCGCCCGCCGGTCATCGTACGGACGGCGCCCACGCGGTACCACATGCGCGAGTGCGATTGCGATTCCACCAACCTGTGCGAAAATTCAATCACAAATGAAACCCTAATATTCATGACTAAATATGCGTATAATTTCGTTGTGTCCCCTTACATCACCAGCAAAAATTGTTGAATCCATTGCAGAGGGTTTTGTATTCCAAAATGGGCAGCATCTACCCCCATGGAAATAAAACGTTCAATTAACAACAGGAAGAGAAGATGAAAGACTGATACGATACCTGTTTGCAAAAGAAATACGTTGTAAATTATGACGAAAATTAATTAATAAATTGGTAAATTTTAATTAACATTAAAATTTAATTAATATTATTAAAATAAAATTAGTAAATTCATACTTGGATGCGGCGAGGACAGCAGCATCCTCGTCGGTGAGACCGGGGTATTTCTTGACCTCCTTGATGAAGCGCACCAGACCGTCGCGGTCCAGGTGGCCGTTACGGAAGTACTGATTGTCCTTCACCAGTTTGTCGCCTGCAACCGTACATCACACGGACACTTTATACCGCGCATGACAGAATAATTACATTCTAAAGATATTCTTAAGTAGTTATAATTATTCATCCACAATTTATTTTTCATCGTCAAAAATATTCCATGAAACAGAAAGGAGCAAATTAATTTGATTTTATCAACAAATTATGATTATTCATCAAATTCATGTTCATCGTCATGTAATTCTACAAAAGAAATACATCTTTCAATGCTATTTATTAGATAATTATGATTATTTATCCAACATTTGTTCATTAATCGTCAAAATATTTCATTAACGAAAAAAAAATACAATTAAGTACTTTTTCCTAAACACTTTATTGTTCGTCGTCAAAATATTTCCACAACAGAAAAAAAATCAAGTTACCGCACTTTCAAAAGTCATTTCCACTTTCATCTTACATTTTTTTATTAAATGCTACATTTTCAACATTGAATTTTATTTAGAAAGATTCTTGGTAAATAAATCAATATGACAAAAAAGTCAGAAATTTTGTGACAGAAAATCAGCGACGACATTAAATGAACATATCTCGAAAACACAGAAATCAACAGAGCTTTCAACTATTTATTCGTGTATTTACAATTCGCTATGATTTCTATCCGAAAGATTTAGGCCAAGCAGAAGTTAGCGCTTTGTATAATGCTGCATTTAATTCGAAACTAATCACTACAGTTGAACTCAAACATAAAAATCAACGTGAAATTAATTAAAAGCAATTAACAACAACGAAACCCACCCATTGAATAGTATAAAAAAAATTTGGACAAAAAACGTGCTAAGCAGAACAACACGAAAGCAATTTAACGGTTACTTATGAAACATATTAAGCTCAATAAAAATATTAGGCTCAACTACAACACATATTTAGGGTCAACAAAACTACACTAGAATATTAGTTTATGTTACTTCGTTAGTAGAAAAGAGAATTTATTAAATAAATACTCGATCATTAGTCTTTTCCGTTAACCACAGATAAAATTAAAATTAATCCAAGTAATGTTCATCAGTCTCTCAGTTACAACAATCATTTAATAAAACTGTGGTCAATTTTCGCTATTGATTTTGCATATTCGCATAGTTCCGGGTTTTAACTTTTAATTGCCTTGAGAAACACATGATACACGTGTATATACGTATGATACGTCAAATTTAACTCACCGTTGTGAAACCTGCTCAAATCCTACTTCAGTAGCAAGTGTTCCTAAATATAATAACTATATTAAAGTCCGGTATTCTGTGGAAAAATATCACATCATAATTCATCACACACCCGAAACTCAAGTTCACTAAAATAAATCTGATCAGCCAAAGATCAAGTCAGTTTTCTGTAGTCATCAAACCTGGAATGAACAAAACTTGCCGAGTCCTGCGTTGCTGTCTTCAGTTTTCGGAATTTGCCGTTACTTGCTATGATGACCCGTGTTAAAAAACGCACCATTCTGATGTTCACACACACCAACAATTTGATTACGAGAATAATTACAAGAAGATACAATAGTTAAGAGAATAAATTTTAGGTGAAATTACTTCTGTCACGTTGAATATGATACATTTCTAGCACTTACTATATCGATTATCAATGAAAAACACGAATAATCTGTACGAGTTACTTTAACTGCAGGAATCGCATGAAGTTATTTTCTAGCCAAAAAGCCAGAATTGAAAAGAAGTAATGGCAACAGTGAAATATAAAGGCAGAAATGCGGCAGACGGTACAATTTAGAAGGAGAAAATAGATCGCACGTAAAGAGGGTACATCAAGCAAACCTTATCGTACTGTCGCTTAGTGTCATAAAACTACGTACTGTCGTAAAAGCTTCTCAAAAATAACTTTATCGTAAAATAATTTTCTATGAAATTTTAACTGAAAAATATTTCTGAAGCACATCATCGTGACATCATCATAACCATAATTTTTAATGTGTCATTTTTCTATTTTTATGAAATATTACAATAGCTGCAAGCAACACTTGCTCGAGGTTCCGCCCTCAAATTTAAAATACACATAATAATTATTTGCACATAGGTATATGATATATGTATATTAATGTGGTCAAGAAAAATTATGAAAGGACAAAAACGTAATTTTCGGCGGTTCGCGAGGTTTTCGCGACATTTAAAGAACGCACTTCAAACCCTTCAACATTGGCAGGGTATAAGAAAAGTTGTACCTCTTTACACTCCGTATCAGACGGCAATATAAACAGTAAAAATAACTTTAGTTTCAGAACAGCACATTAAGAATTACTCGCGAATTACTGAGTATACACGTGCTGTATTTCACTAACGTAGCAAGCGATAGCTTATAACTTAAAGCTTATAACGAATAGCTTATAGGAGACAGTTGATAGCTTATAACTATAATACATAGATAACAAACATATGAGATTGCTGTACAGGTAGCTTTATATAACTCGAAAGGCTTGTAAGGTTTTATTCTACAATATATTTTAGAATGTCAAGCTGTTTATTTAAAACCTGACGATAAAAATTTGAAGGTCTTATTCGGGTGCGCATCGTTCGAATATGCCTTATTCCTATTAATATCACTAGATTGCATATATAGCAATTAAGTATAGAAGCATTCTGTAAAACGCAGTAAAGGGAAATTGTGAAAATTTACTGTCCCCTTTGAAAAAATCGGGCATGAATTCATAAATTTTAAATTTCAGTTGAACCCAGTGGAATGTTGAATGAAATGAGGAGTGACGATTCGTTTCATTGACTAATTGCTTTGTTTATAGGCGTGAAGGGATCAGCAAATTTTCAACGCTCCCTCTATTACGTTTCCCCGAATTTTCAAACTGACGTTGGACCTAGACAACAGTGGCAGATTTGAATCTAAATTGTATAAGTGATAATTTGTCAGGGAAAACTCGAAAGCTGAGAATCACTCCTGCACTCACAGCAGAACTGCAGCTGTACAGCACTACGTCTAGCACTATAGTGTTAGGAGTTGGCCGATTAGACCTACCCCGAAAAAAGAGCTTGGTCCTTCCTCCAATAGGAGCGGGAATGTCAACACGTGAGGAAGTAAGATAGTTATTTTCGTACCTTATAACATGTTAGTTGTTTAATTAGATACATTCGTAACTAATTACTTTTATAACTAATAAATTAATTTTTTCACTAGTAAGTTAATTACGTTGCTAGTAAGTTACTTTCGTAATAAATAGGACGGTTACTTTCAAAAACTATTCAGATGATTCGAACACAGGAATTCCCAGCAGAAAAGCGAAGTTTGAAACCAATCTTTATGAACCTAAAAGAATAAAAATATATCATTCGCCAAATTGAGGTTTGAAATGTTTGGTAACGCAAACGTTTCGTTCTTAAATCAACGAGAGTTGGCAGAGAATGTCGTGCCTAGCTGACGAGAAGCCTGGGATGTTCCGGACAAGATTTTCTTCACAACAACCCACCCGTAAAAATATTCCTTACAAGGTATGGATTGCATTTCATACACAATTTCCATACACACATATAATATGAATTTAATAACACCCGAGTGTATGTCTATCACTGTATTATAACTCATGGGACACCTTAATTTTATTGCATTTTTTTATCTCTAAAAAGTGAGCTATAATCGAAGACTGCATTTACCAATAGGTTGATCCGGCACGAATTCGGACATTCAAAGCATGGGTAAATCCTTGAAAGTTGGATAAAAGCAAAAGTAAACGATTCTCTTCATTCACTCATGGGTTCGTTTAGCGTATAAATGTACCTCAATAATGTGTTTATTTGGTGTGTGAAAGCACCAGGCATATTGGTCCGTTGAACTCATAAATACACCGCAATCATTGGTTTTGCAATCACTGCAAAGGCATATACACACACGCGAATCATGAAATGAATATATATTTTATACATTAGCAAATGGTAGGTTAGTTAATCACGGATAAGCATGAATAAAAATGATTATAAAAAATCTGCTAGTTAAATACAAATAACAACACCGATAACAATAGGTTAGCAAGTTTGAACAGCACACACATGTTATAGCAAATGTTAGACGGTTCACGGTTGCACTTGGGTATAGTATTAAACATGGGCACAAATTGGGTACCCGAGAGGAACGGTTGAATGAACGAGAATGCGTTGAGGTTTTATAAACGGACCAGTATTCCGGTTAAACGGGTCTTCTAATACACTGCACAAATAAGCTCGCAACGAAACCTCTGCGCACTCAATAAAAGAATCCAAAATTTTATCATCTGAAGAAGACATATAATGTAAACAGTAATACGAGAGGGACTGAAGATTTTTATATCGCATATGTGGTTCAATTTTCTTACAATTTTCGTTGCGAGCTCAGCTGTATTTTAGTTGGATAATCACAACAACCGAAGCAACTTTAACTCCAACACCGGACGAGACATGTTAGTCATAAAGCGACAAATTTCGTTTTTTCACGCTTACAAGCAATCGCACCCGCTGCCAACCACGTGACATATGCAAATTGTCACATTAAATTAGCCGACAGCGTTTAAGATCAATTAAGGTTGATTGCACCGCAATTCCGCCCGACACACAAAAAACGGAAGAAACGGAACGCTGACCAGAGCTTCCGCAAACCCGGACCTCCGTCTTACGGTGGTGGTGGTTGCCCGGAGAACTCATTTGTTGGTTACTAACTCAGTGTTTCCTGCATGCGAATAATAGAGAGATCTACTCGCGTCATAGTATTTAGGAGTTATGAGTGAATGAAAATACGTGTAATTATTGAGAATAAAAGCTGAAGTAAATACATTTCAAGAGTCGGAATCAAATTGAAAGTAATTTTCCACAAGAGGGATTGGCTTTATTAACAAACTCAACAAATCGAAGAACTGATGAGATAATTTTCACGCTTTTATGCAATAATTGATATCAACTGAATGTTAGACATTGCAGTAAACCAAATTATCAGCCAACGATAATGCACTTATGACACTGAGTTACGACCAACAAGTGCGTTCTCCAGGCCCCGTGCCGATACCTCAGACGTCGGTCACCGGGCTCGCGGAGCTCCCTTGGAACGATACCAACTTACCCTCACCTGGCTCGAAGTTCCCCAGCTCCATCTGCTTGGCGGTCTCGGTCTTCTTGACGCCACAGAAGTTCTTCTCCGCAAGCCACGCCAGGAGGACAAGCAGCGGGAAAAATAGGAGCGTCACCAACGCCTCCCACACGTCAACGACGTCCGGGGTTATGGCCACGAGGATCAGCAGCAGCCACAGGTAAGCCACCAGTGAAAACACGCTCGTGATCGCGAAAACCTGCACAAAATAGAAAACTTCTGAAATTCAGCAGTTCTAAATATTTGCCAGTTCACCTGCATCGAATGTGAGTGAGTTTACGGACTTCAAGAATTCAGAAGAATGAGAGTGAGTTTACGGACTTCAAGTATTCAGAAGAATGAGAGTGAGTTTACGGACTTCAAGTATTCAGAAGAATGAGAGTGAGTTTACGGACTTCAAGTATTCAGAAGAATGAGATTGAGTTTACGGACTTCAAGAATTCAAGCTTACACGTCAATATAATTTTCAAGCATTACATGAATAAGTCTGCATAACACAAAAAGGAACAAGATCTTAAATTTAATAAACAATCTGAGGATCACAATGTTATAGCCGTACAGGATGCTCGAGAAATAGAAATTTTCATGATTAGACTTCTAGATTATCCAGATTAGACTTTTATAAGGATAATTCTTTATTCACTTATTTCTGAAGACTGCTCTCGAAAGGAAACAACAGAAAATCAAAGTTCTTGAATCAATTTCTGCTCATGAATCGAAAAATATAAAGCACATTGTATACGGTAATTCAATTAAAAAACAGTGGACCTAACCCGTTACCTTGACATCTTTGATACGCCGAGTCTCGCCGCTAGGGATGCACATGACGCATATGGCGGAGATCACGAAGAGATTGAATGCAGCTGAACCCACGATGGTGCCTGGGCCGAGTGCCCCAGCGTTGAAGTTGTTTCCTGGAGACAATATAACGTTATAGGTAAATTACTTTAACATTTTAATATTTAAGGATTCCGTTTTTAGCGCATTTTCTCATTTATGATAGAAATGCACTATTATGCTCACCGTGTCCGTCTGTCAGTCCGTCCGTGATTTCATGTTTTCGTCGACGAGAAAATGCGCTCTCTGTCAATCACTGCAGTGAGTACTGAGTTATATTTTTTAATGTTTGATGAGAGATACCAAGAGACAATATATAACGTTATGGGTAAAATACTTTACCATTTTAATATTTAAGGATTACGCTCTTCAATGTTTGACGAGGACTCAAGTCGTGCCTTAACAAATTAGTGAAAACACATTGTCTCTAAAGTTCACTCATGTAATTTCGTTTTCGTTGTACTGTCGATAAGAGGCTGTAATCTCTTTAATTTTTTTCAATATGCGACTTTCCTTCGTTGTTTTAACCAAAATTTTCAGTGTTTCCTACCCTTTTCTTATGCAGATTGAAATTAAATTATAATACCTATACCACGATTGTCTTCACAGAAACGTAAATAACTTTCTTCATATATCACTGTAGCCACTATATCAAGATTTAGAGCCTCAATCAATACCAATATTCAATATCAATACCAATCAATATTCAATATTCAATACCAATCAATACCAATATCAATACCAATATTCAATCAATACCTCAATATCAATACTTTGTAGCCTCAATCAATAACACAATTCCAGCACAAAAAAAAATAGTTCCCCTAAGAATCACGCTCAATTTACTGATAATGATGAAGAATAGATTGCACTCACCCACGACCTCAATGCAGGAGAGAAGGATTTCAGGAGCCGATGAGCCGAGCGCCATGAGCGTCAAGTTGGCGACCGTGTCGCTCCACACGCGCACTTCGATCACGTCGGGGTCGTCTTTGCCGGACTGGGTCAGGTAGACCTGGTAGAGGGAAAAGTGATGGTAGGGTTCAGACGGTAGGGTTCAGACGGTAGGGTTCAGACGGTAGGGTTCAGACGGTAGAGTTCAGACGGTAGGGTTCAGACGGTAGGGTTCATAGGGTTCAGTTGGTAGGGTTCAGACGGTAGGGTTCAGACGGTAGGGTTCAGACGGTAGGGTTCAGACGGTAGGGTTCAGACGGTAGGGTTCAGACGGTAGGTTCAGACGGTAGGATTCAGAAGGTAGGGTTCAGATGGTAGGGTTTAAACAGTAGAGTCCTCGATCCTACAGAAATCCTTAGGAATACTTATACTCCTGGGAATTTTAAGCTCTTCTTAGATACACTGAGAATGTGTTTCCGGGAAATTGAGGGAGAACAATCAAGAACATCTCATATGTGGTTCGATTTTCAAAAACAACGACAAGAGGTAAGTATTACCTATTCTAAATTTAACCTCTTTCAGGTTCTTATATACGAGTATAAATCCTAAATAATATTTGAGAAACATGGTAAAGAAGACCTCAGATGAAAAGTAATTATTAGAATAAATTTGTTCATTGTCATTTATGGTCATAACATTGTTCCAAGCAAGCACCTGCATTCAAAACTAGAACAATACCTGACGATTGTCATTTACTCGCGTCAGTGTAACTATAAAGTAACTCAATATTATATGGTGAGTACAGTATTTGGATTCAACGAGAACTTATTCTATGGGTAATATTATTTGGGAAACCAACATACACGGGTGACGTTTGATTAATTCTTCGCAGGATAATACAATATTCATAATACTTCACAATAATATTAAATTTAGTTGAACAATCTATCTACTAAGAATTCAAATTTGCTACTTAGTTTTATCAAAGTATTTTGTTGCAGTGGAAGATACGCACTTTCTTAGTTTTGCTTGTGATTTTCTCGATGGCTCCCATGAAAATATCGGCGATGATAGACACGCCCAGGAAGCAGTAGAGCAGCCCGATGAAGTAGAGCGTCGACCGCACCTCCTCGGGCCACGTGTACTCAGAGATGAAGGGTAGCAGCAACCCTCTGTAAATGTTAGTAACATTTACATTTGAATTTTCAAAATCTTTTTCCGATAATCAAATCTCTGAGGAGTCAAAAAGCAATATTCATTTCATTGAGTCATTAAAATGTCAAATAAAATCGCTTCCTAAATTAAATGACATGAATTCGTTACGTTCGAATTTTTTTTTTAGAAAATTGCAAAGCAGTAGGTCTATAAAATGACTATCAACACTGGGAAAAACTCACCTGTCGGAGCATCGGTACGAGTGGAGGGCGCTCTCATTGATGAAGCGATCTCCCTTGACAAGAGTGAATTCCATGACGATTTCTCTGTCAGACTTTGCACCTACTAAACTATGGTCACTTCTTCTTAATAAAATATAAAATTTCCAAGTTTATACTTTAGCTGTTTCTAAGACGAGGAATAAAATTTAAAACAAGAAAGATTCATTATTGGACTGCATGTCACTTAGATAATCTGAAAAATAAAATAAATGTAATAGTTTACATTCATGAAACAACAGCGAGTCTGTTCAATAATAACCGAAAAGAAGTCAGTCAAGAAGATGACCTTCCATCAAACCATATCGACTAATGAGCCTCTAACAATGAATTATCTTCAGTTCCACATCCTCTATATTTTATTGGCAGAAATTAGGTTTTGAAACTAAAATAAAATGAAGTGAAATCATCTGTATTCGTGCCGAAGTGAAATCATCCGTATCTTAATTCAGATTATTTTTTTAATTCAATTGAAGATGTTTACTCGGAGGATAAGTGCACAAAGGAAAGCATTCCTCGGAGGGTAAGTGCACAAAAGAAAGCATTCCTCGGAGGATAAGTGCACAAAGGAAAGCATTCCTCGTAGGGTAAGTGCACAAAAGAAAGCATTCCTCGGAGGATAAGTGCACAAAGGACAGCATTCCTCGGAGGATAAATGCACAAAGGACAGCATTCCTCGGAGGATAAATGCACAAAGGACAGCATTCCTCGGAGGGTAAGTGCACAAAGGACAGCATTCCTCGGAGGATAAGTGCACAAAGGACAGCATTCCTCGGAGGGTAAGTGCACAAAGGAGAGCATTCCTCGGAGGGTAAGAGTGCACAAAGGACAGCATTCCTCGGAGGATAAATGCACAAAGGACAGCATTTCCTGGTAGAATAAGTGTACAAGGGGAAGTAATTAAGCTTCAAAGGATACGCACTTGAAGGACAGCATACGGTATACGGGACAGCTTCACGAGATGTGCACACCAAGAAAATCCTCCCTCACGTGAAGTGCCTTTGCAAGTCAAAATGTCGCTCCACAAGAGCTGCTCCATCGCTGCGCGCAGGAATAGACGCGCTTAAAGAGGAAGACCGCGAGGACTACGCTGAATCTCACCTATTCTGAATTCTAGAGCGAGCTAAGATTGAGATCAATGCAGCACCACCAAGCGCAAGAAGCACCATAAGATCCTCGATAATATAATCAGAACATGGATGAATGGCTTAAATTAAATATATTTTCCATTCGCATGAAACTGTGCAAATCAACGTGCAGGTGAAAACTAATCAAAAGTCTAGATTACCATATCACAAAAACACACGCACACACACAAATACGCGGGCCTAAAAAATTGTGATCTATATGAATTAAAATAAAATATTATGATATTTCAAATGAATATTCTGGCTCATCCAGGGAACGATCTGAAACGTCAAAAGAATGGCGTTGCAGAAGCAACAGCTACCGTTACTATACGGGTGCTGAAAAACTGGTGTAACGTTATGTGGAGTCACGCCAGCTGGCGGGCACAGTGCGCAAGAAAGCGAATATCGTGAAGGTTTGTGAGGCAACTCATAGATACATGAAATTCAACACCGCTGCTTATTGGAATGGTCAGGCAAATAGGAACAATGATCACCCACGCTCTTCCCAAGTTGCCACTATAGCTGCCACTATATAGTTGCCACTATATTACCATGATGGGCAATACAATTAAACACACAGGATTGGTTATATCTTCGACTAACAGTTCATCACACTCGCATATTCATCAGATTTACAACAATTTTCACGTTCGAACTTCATTTACTCGAACAATTGAATATTATATTATGATACGTAAACATAAACTGTATAATCTAAATAATGAAGCCGTGTCTATTTTTGTGTAAAATTTTAGTTGTGTACACTCAAATTGAAATTTAATTACGTTATTTTACTTTTCTTTGGAAATATGTTTCAATGGAGCAATATATGGTCAATCTATGCAATCATCTGCTCCCAACTGTTCGTGTTGCAGGCGACGTCTCGTCTGCTCACAACTGTTCGTGTTGCAGGCGACGTCTCGTCTGCTCACAACTGTTCGTGTTGCAGGCGACGTCTCGTCTGTTCACAACTGTTCGAGCGTTGATGTTGAACAGATGAGAGCCCAACGCTTCTCTTCAATACACCGTTTAGTAAGCTACGTAGTAACTCCAATGATGAACTTTAACCTTGTCAAGTACAGCCCCATCGGACATGGTATTTTAGAGTAATTTTCACACGAGTAGGATTTTACAAGTTTCATTTATAAGGTTTGTGTAAATAGTTTCGAAAAAGCAAGCACCAATATACCACATACCGCTCCTTACCTCTAACAACAAATAAGCGATCGACCACGTAATTCTCAATTTATTTAATTTAAACCTACTTTCCTTGCTCCAAGTAAATTGTTAGATATATTGGTTTGGTTTTTGGTTTTTGGGGACAGAAAAGGTAAAACGGTGAATAACTACACAAATTCGGCAAAAAAATATTTAAAGGGAGTAAAGTTACAATTAAATTCGAAAAAAATGTTGCGGATAGAATATTTTTCTAGAAAAGGAAGCCACAAGTAAAAATAGTCGTTTTTATGGAAACATGCACGACTTTGTTATTGACGCGTTTCAGAAAGGTAGGTGAATACCGTAGCTAGATTTTATAGGTTCGTTATTACAGATACACTCCTCCAAGCAAACGACGTTGAAACCATGACAGTGAGTGAAGTTCGTTTAAACAGCGTTGATTAGGAATTAATTTTATTAAAACAACGATTATTACGTGTTCATATCGCTGAGAAAATGTTCAATAAATGCTTTTTCAACGTAAAATCCCTTGTGGCAACCGAGAGAGAACGACCAACTCGTTGCACTTGTTCTCCGAGACAGCCACCAGCCACTATAATAGTACCCGGCCAGCATACTAATAATAAGTCGAGTCATTGTCAAACTTGCGGGTAGCCCAAGGGTTGTGTAATTTCATATGTGGGAGCAAATAATGTATTAGTTATAAACTCTGACAGGAATTATGTAGAAAGTATCCGATTCTATGATAATTTGAAAACAACATAATAATCAACGTTGCTCGCTTTAAATCCATTGTTTTTCTCCAAATAATTAATAAAGAAAAAAATAAAGCCGACACAAATCGAGCTGGACAAAATTTGTTCTAGCGGTACACATCAAGAAAAAATAATTTGTTCAGAAGAAGCACCTAACTCCATCAACATTAACTTGAGCACACAGGCTAGACAGCGTAAATACTGTAGACATAGGTAAACGACGGAACACAACAATATTTTTTTAAGAATAATTCAAATAATATAATAATAAGTGAAATTCTGGGAAATAGTCGTGCAAATAAAAAGTCCATAATGAACTATCTAGTTTATGTTAAAATGTAGGTACACGCTGCATAAGAAGTGATTCGTGGAAGAAGAAACTTTCGCGATGAGCATCGATAGCAGCAAACCATGTTAAGTAAAGGAATTTACAAACACTTTATGAGCACAGATTAAAAAAAACATTCAAAGGTGAAATAGCAAATAATTTACAACTTGAAAACATAATATAAAATTTGCTGAGGCCCTGATAGCTGTGCAAGTGCATCAGCGTAAGACACGAAAATACATTGCGATATCCAAAGATTTTCAGAACAGTTGACGAAACAAAGGGTGAGGGTAGGAGATGACCAAGATATGCAGGTACGAATTTCTGAGCTTTATAGCTTTACAAATAAGGTAGTCAAGTCGTTAATTAATAATAGTGAGAAATTTGCCTTCGTGTGGTTTGATAATAGATTCCAAAGTCACTCATTATTTTTTTTTTTGAAACGGAAATAGCGTGGCAAAATTATTTAGCAATATCACTCACTGCATTACGGTTTTTTGTAAAAAATTGTGATTCCATTTTATAAGACTGACCGAGCCTAAGCAAACATTCTACGAACAATGTTACTGACACATCCAAAGCATCATTTGAATTTGTCAGGACCAAATTAAAGATTGTCTTTTTATCCCGAGATAAAAAGGCAAGAAACACGAAGAGTTCGGGAAGCGGTTAAGCTATATAGACGTGCAGGCTAAACCAACACAGAAGGCGAGACTGGCTTATGGGCTGCTGCGGGGCTTCGTCGACACGTGTGGTGCGTGTTGTGGTGCGCGGTGTGGTGCGCGGTGTGGTGCGCGGTGTGGTGCGCGGTGTGGTGCGCGGTGTGGTGCGCGGTGTGGTGCGTGTTGTGGTGCGCGGTGTGGTGCGTGTTGTGGTGCGCGGTGTGGTGCGTGTTGTGGTGCGCGGTGTGGTGCGCGGTGTGGTTCGCGTCATAGTTAACGTTGTGGTGAGTGTGATGCAGGTTGCCATGCAGTATTGAGAATGAAGTGCAAGTGTGGTGAGAGCGGTGCGCACGTGGTGAAAGTGGTGCGCGGTGCGATGGGAATGAGGCTTCACGGACAACCGAACGCCATGTCCCAGAGACTGCAGATGTGTGAAGCAACGAGAGTATTAGCACCTATAGCAATAGCAACTATAATATATGGAACAAATTTATATTATTATGGATTGTTATATATTATATAGAAATATATTGGATTTAAATAATAATATCGCGAGTACAACACAACTTCGCGGTTGTAGTTCATACAATTGATCCTACAGCCAACTTATCATGGAATAGCATATATATAACCTATAATCAAAATTTAAATATTAAAACTAACCAGATTCAAGTGATCGGCAAGGGAAAGCGAGGCATTCGAGTTTCTAACAATAAACTTAATTGACACTGAAACATCAATAAATTCGAAACTTAAAGTCAGCGATCGCTGAAAAAACAACAACAATTTTTACGTTTTTACCGCGACAGCGCGGAAATGAACGAAACAGACGCTATGTTAAGTGGCAGCTGTCAAAATATATCTTGGCTGCAATCAGCAACGACATCATTTCCCGCGAGCGCAACCACCAGCAAAATAAACTATCTCAAAGGGACACAAAATCTAAATTCTCCATCACAAACACTACATCACTTACAAGTAAAAATATCAATACAAAATATAACTCAGTACTCACTGAGGTGAGTGACAGAGAGCGCATTTTCTCGTCGACTAAACCGTGAAGTCACGGACGGACAGACGGACATGGCGAGCACAATAGTGCATTTTTTTCCATAAATGAGAAAATGAGCTAAAAAGGGTGTTT